GTCTGCTTTAGAGCTCGGCTAATAGCCGGCTAGTGACCGCTTAGTAGCCGGTTAGTAGCCACTTTGTGGTCACTAGCCGGCTAGTAGCCGGTTAGTAGCCGGCTAGTGACCACTTTTCAAGTGCCGGTTAGTAGCCGGTTGGTAATGTGAAGTTGAGGAGCTGTTATTACAAAAGTGGCTACTAGCCGGCTAGTAGCCGGCTAGTAGCCGGTGTTCATATGGTACTGTGCAGGGACGTTGCATAGACGTTGCATAGACGTTGCATAGACTGACCGTGCAGGGAGTGTGCATAGAGTGTTCATTGTGCAGGGACGTTGCATAGACGTTGCATAGACGGTTCTTTTGTTGTTGCACGGACGTTGCATAGACGTTGCATAGACTGTCCGGAGCTAAACGACCAAGTTGCCGTTAGAGGGTTACTAGTATTAGCCGGCTGTTACGGTAACCGCCCTCTAACAGCCGGCTAATAGCCAAAAGAAAACACAAGTAAGACCCGTCTCGTTGCCATGTACAGGATTAATACTAATAGTCATGAAGTAAATTAAGCTTGCTCTCATCTCCTCCCAGACGTAACGAATTAGACTAAATACAATTGTTAACACCGTAAATTACAGTAATAGTATGTAATCCGATGTTAATCAGTCGTCATTTCCTCTCCGAATAGTGCATATAGTTAGTAATAGTGGCCTGAACCACATTACTATCTGACGAAAGCACCTTAATGTGTAAATCCTCAAATTAATTGGCACTAAGTATGAAATGATCACAACAACATTTGAAGATATGAGGGGAAATGAAAATAGAAACCTGTACATTGAACAAGGAAGATTTATAACGAACAAATTGAGCTCAGTTGATGGGCTGATTTGAGGGATTGATCGTTTGACAAAAAGCAAGTTTTAAATTTGTGCATGCTGTTATGTAGATATTGCAAGCATAGCCTTTAGCTAAGAACTGCGAACGAATTCGCAAGAACAGACCACTCACCACACAATACTAATTCAGGAAGACTTGTCCTCTAGTTGCTATAAGTATAATAGTGTATCAGGATTATGAGCCGTAGATTAGTATTAGTAGATTAGTATAGATGTTTGTTAGTACTACTACTAGTAGTATATATAAATTACTATATACTGTATATATATAATACGAGACCAGTTCTAAAAAATCTCTTTAGAGATTGCAAAGAAAACATTTGCTAAAACTGAGAAATTATAAATGTGGTACGCGACGTGTATCATGTGTATGTGATGGACAATACTTTCAATATATGCTGATTCAATCAGTGATCTCACTCTCAGAGTGCCCGGATACCGTAGCTATAATGGTGCGGCAATCCCGAACGTGATAAATCACTCTACACTCGATCTTCGAGATTTTTCTAAAAGATAGTTGAAACCAACTTGAATCGATGTATTTTCGGACGCTAATTCCAAGTCACCCCCATGACATAGGGTTAAAATACTCTCCTGGCAAGATATTGGCGAAAAACTGGGTATAGGACGCAGCGGCGGAAGTCACTGCGGCGGTGGACGGTACAGCGGAGGACGGTACAGCGGAGGACGGTACGGCGGTAGTTTCCAAAAAGGTTGGACGGTGCGGCGGATCACATGACACCCACTTTACTTTGGACAGTACGGCGGTACTACTACTACTAGAAACTGTACCTATAAGATAGACCTAGCACTGCTAATATAACAAAATCGATTAGCTATAAAAAGTTCAATTTTCCTCTTTGTTACTTCGAAATTAAATTTAATTAAAATTAAATTGGATAAAGTTTAACATATACATTGTGATTACTAAGAGCAGTTCTTGTTCCACTTTCTGGTTCGTATCAGATCGCGTCTGGTCTGCACAACGGTGGTTAAGCGAGTGCACGATGAGCTTGTTACGGTGAGATCTCATATCACTGCGCCGAGATGCAATGGGTAATAACAAGGGCATGAGAACACGTCACGAGGGATCGCATCCAGGAATCTGATCAACCGTAGCCAAGAAGAGAGGTTACTCAGTGAAACGTAGATAATGATAGAGGCAAACAGTATATAAAGCGGATCAAAGTTGAGGAGATTATCTCATTAGCACCACCATCTCCACTCTCCAGTACTGCAACACTACAACTTGAGTACAACAGCTACAACGATGTTCGATGAAGATACGGTGAAGGTGGTCAGAGGGAGAACTGCTAAGAGTCAAAACCTTCTACACCGTGGTTTCCGCTACTCCAAAGATGGAAAGCTGACTCTGGATGGACGACAGGCTTGGAGGTGCGTGAAGAAGAACGACAGATGCAAGGAGTCCTGGAACAAGAAGTTCTCCACTATCCTTGGACACTCCAACCCCACCATCTACAACTTCATCACAGCACTTCAGATGGAGCAGAGTTCAACAGATGGGAAGCGCGCAGCCTACCTGGTCGGAGAGAACCCACCGAAGAGGAAGAAAGCTCACAGCGACAAGGACAGGAGGATTCACCGCATCGTTAAGAACTACCACTCTTACGAAGATGATGTCTTGACTTACCTGGATCTGCTCAGAAGTGTTATGTGAACTATTGATTGCTGTAACTTCTTGATAATGATTTGTGGGATTTAGATATTATTGCTATTGAGTGTGTCAAGTTATATTAACTTTTTGATTTTCAACAACTCAATATTCTCGATTTACATTGTCTGCAAAGCCCTGAATAAAAAAAATGAACAACTAAACTAACAAGAATTATACAATGATAAAGAGAAAATAAAAAATAAAACTTATAATGCGAATCTAGAACAAAACTTATATATATTAGAAACAAGTTGAATGTGTAAGTTCTGTCTTAGGTACAGTTTCTAGTAGTAGTACCGCCGTACTGTCCAAAGTAAAGTGGGTGTCATGTGATCCGCCGTACCGTCCAACCTTTTTGGAAACTACCGCCGTACCGTCCTCCGCTGTACCGTCCTCCGCTGTACCGTCCACCGCCGCAGTGACTTCCGCCGCAGTGACCGGTTCCCGAAAAACTGTCTCGATCACGTGATATGACCGTATAAGGAAGTTGGTTTAATTTATCGTTAGGGTTAGGGTTTCAGCATATGCTTTTGTTAGAGATTGGGTTAGGGTTAGGGTTGGCATCGGATTAGAGAGTTAGGGTTTCGAATAGTCGTTCAGGGCCAGCTAGAGAACGAGTTGAAAAAGTCACGTGACAGTCGAGTGTATAGTGATTAATCATCAATCCTGTAGAGTTACAAAAATATAAGTCTGGAAATTATATACTTTATACAACAAGATAAATCCCATCTTACTCTTAGGACGGGAAGAAAGTGAGACCGACTCCTTTCATTCTATAATCATTGTTTTAAAAAAATTTAACCTATTTACGATGTCGTATCATTTTGTGACGATGTTTACATCAACTGCCCTATACTTGAATCAACTGTATCCATGTATCGTCCTTATATATAAGAGTTTTCCCGCCTTCCAAACCAAAATCAGATATAAATGATTTCGGAAATTCACCCAGAATTTCAAATTCCATATAATGTGACAGATGCAGAATTTGCATCATTTTCCAATAGCCAAGTGCATGTATTTGCTAACTTTCAAAAGAAAATATTTTAGGGCTATGATTGGCAGAAGAACCATCAAATAATGAGTTGAAAGGGTTTTGAGGACACCTCACAGTAGAAAAGAGGTCTCGTATTCTGAGTGTGACAAAGTTTACGAAATATTGCCTTAAAGCCGTTCGATCACTGCCCAATTTAGGCCTACGTTGTATCATAATTGTTAGATTGACCTAATCTACTATATTTTAGACCAAAAAATGCTAATTGGGCAGCTATGGTAAACAATGTCACAAAAATGTGACATTTTTTACATTATAGTAGCATAGTACCTTACTGGGCCGCGCTCAGCCTGTCATTCCGCCTAATCTCTATGTTTATGAACATGATAGCCTGAGGTCCCCAGGTAATATAGTACCTAAAAGCAATCAATTTTCTGAGCAGTGCATATGGGAGTATGGGTCATGTGGCTAAAGTTCAGAACTTATGAACACGCTAGATTGATTGATGCTAAAATTAAGTCACTATCGTCAAAAACGCTATTTTAGAAATTTACCAATATCCTCAAACTTCAGCATTCAGTGAGCGTGTCCTTATACGACAAGATAATTCCCATCTTAGGACGGGAGGAAATTGAGACCAACTCCTCGGACTACATTAAATTAATTCCTTCTGTTTATAATTTATATTATATAATAGTACTTATCAACTTTATTAGTCTTTCAAAAAATTTCTGATTTTTCAATCCACCATTTTGTGGCCAATTAGTGAGTTCACTGTGGATTGCTCAAGAAACGATTGAGGTACAAGAAGCTAGATTTCTGGAGAAAGCTATAAAATTAGAAAAAAATGTAAGCTTTCCTCGACTAAAATTTTACTGTTTTGACAGAATTTTTGTTCAGTGATTAATTAGTCAGTTCATTGTGGACGGAGGAAGGCCCGATGCATATTGAAGCTAGATTTCCGCAGAAAGCTTTGAAAAACGGAAAATCACAAAAATGTCCGATTTTCAGATGCGTATAAGGATTTCTGGACCGAAATTACATAGTTCTGACGGATTTTTGTCCAGTGACCAACTAGTAAGTTCACTGTGGATGACAATTTGGACACGATTGAAGTACTGGCAGCTTAATATCTTGAGACACTTTCGAAAAATGGAAAATCCCAGAAAAAGGTTACCTGGATCGAAATTTCACTGTTTTGACAGAATTTTTTACAGTGACCAACTATAACTAGTGAGTTCACTATGGATGGCACAATACACAATCGCGGTAACGGAAGCTTTAAAAACTTATTTTAGTTAATAATGTATACAAATTAAGATACAGTTATTTAAACGGTTCATAATAAAATATAAAACATTTAATAAGCAAATAGCAATCATAATCTAAACAACTCTCGGTTAAAAATTGTTGTTAGTACACCCGCATTACATGCAATACAAATACCTAGCAACAAGTAACGAAATCACAAAATGATTTTCAGCAAGCATTATTCCCAGTTTGCTAAAAAGTTTTTAAAATGGTCCATGTAAGTCGCGTTAATAACGGCAGTGCTATACTTGCAGCCATTAAGTTTTAGTTTTATCTTTACATTCGTTGTCCGTATCGACAAATCTTTTCTTAAATCAAATACGTTGCAAAATGGCAGCACAAACAGCAGCAAAGGATCCACGATTAAATTCTAACTGGGGAACTATAGTCGAACCTCCCTTTCCCCTTGGCACTCAGAAATTGGAAGGAGGTCAAGTTCAGGAGTTGACTGAGAGACTTCATACCACCGAAACCAAGGTTTGTCATTTTCTCTTTTGTTTGATAGCTTTTATACCAACAACAGGGCTCTTAAAGATAAGTGTAGCAAAAATAGCAAACCGATGACAAACCGAATTATGATAGGAATAATGTTAAACTTTAATCGTGTTAATATAATGATACTTATGAATTATGAAAGCATTAGCTTTAGTTTTATTAATCTGTACAGCTCGTATAACCACCAAATCGTTTAATCCTCGAACTCGGAGTTCTTTAGAGGTTTGTTATCACACTGCTGAGGTTTGTAGCCCTGGTGCCAGTACGGCACACATTGTGTTCTACAGAGTGAGGTACCAGGAGGACATTGACACAATTCACACGATCTCCTACATGCCCATTTAACTGTAGAGTGCGTGCTACACTGGTGGAGTTTATCTGAACAGCCCTCCGCAAGATCCCTACAAGAGCATACGGAGCAGGAGTAGGGACATGTCTCTCTGAAGGGAGCAGAGAAGGGACATGCTGTTACGGCAAAGTTCCGACACCAGGGCTGTGTGTCCTTACAGGGAGTGAAGCTTGAGTCTGGGTCCCTCTCCTGGTAGGTGTGGAGAGTTGGCCACACAACGTCGGTGGTCACACCGCAGTTGGATCCTACTCGTTTTAATCTGAATTAGCCCTTTTCACCCCAACTTTCACCCCACGAGTTTTTAACAAGAAAGGTAGAAGGAGAGTAACCAGCCAGGACAACGGCGTGGTTATTCGTCTCCATTGAACTAGGACAATTCTTCTCAAGAAACAGACCAGACTTGTAGGAGAAGAGAGAAGGAGGTGAATATATCCCTGCGGTTAGTGGTTGTCTTGACAAGGCTCCAATTATACTCTCTTCTGTTATTCCGGACTCATACTGGCTCAAATAGGCAACTTTTATGGCGTCTTTTGATACCTTTAGTTTTTTATTATCACACCCTCGATTAATGGTGAATCTCGCTCCCTTTTTTGGTAGATCTAGCGGGTAAGAGTTGCTGGAAGCGAGCTTGTTTGAGTTCATGAGATAAGAGTACACGTCACCAAACCAACCTCCAACACATCCATTAGAAGAGTTGGTACAATCGGCAACCTGCTGCACAGACATGGACCTCAGTACTCCCGTCTTGATGAAATATAGAGACTCTAAAACGGAAGTGGATGCAAAGGCCCAACAAATTCCACAATCTCCTTGGTCGAGAGGGATGGTCATAGCACCTCTCTCCCTCCAGTCCACAGTTTTGGATGTAGGGTAGAGCGGCCAGCCCAAACGGCTCCGACCTCCAACTATCATACTAACTCCAACCATTCCAGGTTTACCTCTACCACTGACCTCTGAGGATAGCGGTCTTGAGCGGTTATATCCGAGATACGCTTCCCGTTCCACCTCAGACTTGTCAGAAAACTTGTTTATTCCTTTCTTCCAAGTCCCATTGTTCTCGAAAAGAACCTTTTTCAAAGCATTTTCAAATATTTTGTACCTCATCTTTTGCTCCTCGGGACTGTATTTAAGATTGTTTTCTATCAGATAAATGTTGTAAACCTTAGGAGCTAGCGTAGACCTCCTTTTAGATTCCCAACCAGCTTGTCTTCTAAAAATCCAATAGGATTGAGTTTTAGTCGAAGGTCTTCAATGACCCGGTCCAGATTCATTGTTACATCATTCGAATCTGTGTTTACACGCTCCTGTGTAAAATCAACCTGGAGGAACAAAGATAGGACAAACAATGCAACCCTAATCATCTTAGAAATGTAGCGCTATTGTGTATTTAGTCAGACTCATCCAAGGACCGAGACTCACACCCAATGCTTTTAGCACCTTTATATGCGTAATGTTTTTATGCATATGTTAGTTGATAATAATAGCAACAGCTTGTGATAAAAATACACGGCCGATGATTTAGCATATATCTAACGAGCAGTGCCGAGAAAGTTTAACAAGTATTGGCTACTTGACTACCGTAAGCAGAGGACACAATCATCACAAGCAGACTTTTAACTAGCTGTATTGGCAATACAGATAGTTTAAAGTCTGCTTGTACAGTGTATTACTTTGCGGTGCACTATTAGTCGCTAAAGTTAAATTTTTCAGTCGAGAGTCTCGCATAAGAACATCCCCGATATAGAGCGACCTGGAGGAGCTAAAGAAAAAGAAGAGGTAAGTTGGAATGTTTACAGTAGGATAAATTGTCTCTTAAATATTCGTGTCGCAGACTAACATGATTAGGTTTATAAATCGCAGAGCATGAGATTTTACCGCTACATGTTGTCAGAAAATAAGATCATTTCACTTTCCCATAGAACGATCACATGCTGTAATATTAAACACTTTATAGGTTCAAGAGATCGTGGACAGATTGAGTAAAATGACGAAACCGCCAGCAGAATCCAAGAGAATCGGAGCCATTGAACAGTCAGGAATTCTGAACAGTTATGCCTGGAAAGGGTGGAAGACTTCTGATTCGCTAAACCAACAGTGATGAACGGTTGCGAGGATTAGAAATTGAGAAACCCGCAAATGTGTGAATAAGGGCACAAGAAAGCAATCTGCTCGTAGAAGACATTATTGTTGGAAACCCTTTAGGTGATTAAGAAATACGAATTTGTCGTGGATCCTTTTGTAAACAGATTGATGTAACTAATATTCATATACAAATAAAAGTCTTCCCCCAATTTTTGGAGTTTCACTTGTTTTTCTTAAGAGTTCGCTGCTTTTCTCCAGAAACCACAATCTGTTCGTCAGTGGAGAGTCCTTTTCTCTTTCTCGCACTCATCATATAGTCGTGAGCCAGGTTACCTGTTTACATTATGTTAGTGAATGCTAATGAAAATCGTAAAATTCAGTGCTAGACCCTAGGGATAAATCTATAGTGAGATTTATAATCTAGCTAATCAGAAATCGGAATTTGAGGGTGAAGGATAGGAAAACACGTGGTTTTCCTAGAATTAGTGGATCAATTCATGTGGTGCGCCATTATTGCGCGTTTTAAATGCTAACAATTTGAATTTCATCATTAATTTGTCACTGCGCGTGCCAAATATGCTTTCGGGATTTTCGGGTTTTGCCACATTATCTGTGTCGATATTGCGTCATACATGGTAGTGTTGACGGTTTCTTATCCAAAACCAGCGAAGTTGGTCGCTTCGCAGAACCTTTACACATGGCAGAATAATAAGCAAGGTCTGAAAAATTAGTCCAGTATTAGGTTGGATTGATTTTTATGCAATGAAAAAATGACAAGTGAACTTGATAGTGTTAGAACAATTCTTTTTACCTGAATCACCCAATTCTCCAAAATGTGCCAGCTCTTCTTCAGTCGTCGGAACCCAAAACGGGTCTTCTTGTAAAGTCTAGAAAAGAAAAGGGAATTAGTAATACTTCAACACTGATGAGGAAAAAAGCAAGTCATGACTCATGAGTATCTTTAATCAAGATAAATTTACTTTAAATTAAATTGTTGACGTTAATCACCTCCCAATGACTAAACACAAGTTGCGGCATGGCAAATCCAGACGTCTTCTTCCTAATTTCATCAGCGAATCCCAAACTCTCCGCAACAGGCAGAACCGCCGCAATGACAAATGTCCCGGAGCCCTCTTTTAGTTCTTCACTTATAACTCTTCCCTGGCGCTTTGCCAAAACTCCATACACTCTGCCTAGCACCTCTGCTGTTGCCTGATGACAAATATATTATAATAATTACTAAGTTATAAATATCTACCCGGTTTAGACCACCCACTGAACATTTATAGACTACATACTAGATAATATTCCAACATTTATACAGCGGGAGACGAGAGATACATAGAATTTTAAGTTTTAAGATGGGATCTTATTGTACCGTATGAATTAAGTACAGAGAATATTAGCGAGCTGAACAAATTGAAATACATTGCTAAGTGTTGGTACATTTTTAATCAGCTTAAACAGAACTGTCTATATAAAAACGATAACGAAAATGTCAGAGTATTTTATAAAATTTTAACTATTACCTGTACTTCGCACTTGTACATAGCTATCATAAGTCGACATGGTTTTTTCAAGAAAGCTTGTCTGCAGCCTTCTTTTACCGCTGAGACGATCTGGCCGGCTATTGGCTGACCTGAATAGAACGTTTATCTTAGCTTTTAGAGGATATATTCAACTTGGTTATACGCTGTCACATGAAAGGGAACATTTACATTATACATATAACACATAATGTAATTATTCATTACTCTTTAGATTATGAGAGGAATTAGTGACTTCATGAGGGTAATTATCGCCGCTTCCGGCTGGAAAACATATACTTTAATTAAAGCCAATTTCGCAATTATTCGTAAACCCTGCCCCTTCGACGAATCAAAACAAGTCTCTTCAATTTCCTCTATAGATTGATCAGAAAGTCACATACCAACAGATTCGGTGGTATCTGACTGCCAGGATCCTATCCACTCTTGTAGTACAAACAGTGTAGCTGCCATCGGCTCCTCGCACAGTGGTCCGCTGTTGGGAGATATTAGCTAGTCAATACTTATAAACCAATAATATTATTGGATAGAGGTTATAATGCCATGATAATATGCTGCTACCACTAATATACTGCCAATAGGACGCATGGGCAGAGTTATTAACAATGTCATGCAGATATTTACATGTGAGCTTAACAATAGGTATGTAAATGCTGTATATTTCTCATTGAAACTGTTCCATTTCATATTCCGTAAATAGCAATTGTAGACTTCAGCAGTTAAATTATTAATAAAAGGAAACCACATATTTTGTGTTTAACGAGCGAATTAGGAAACTTTACAGTCTACTAAACAGGTCGACTGGAACACATTAATAGACCAGTTAGTAGTTACTAACGTACGGTGGTAAATCTTACAAGTCTAGTTTTATTAACTTAAGAAACAACAAATTCTTAAGATAATTAGTTGCACTACTTTTAACTTGTCTGGATTGAAAGTGATAGTCACACGAACATTAAACAATTGTTGCATGTATTTTTGTTGGGATTTAGAAAGTTTACCATCATGTGCGTGTAAAGAAAAACTAAATTGTCAAATTTCATATAAAAATGGCTCAAACTCATTTCTTATTATAAACGGCGTTCTAGAATTGAGAGAAATATCAGATCAAATACTAACAGTTAAGTAACATATTAGTTAAGTAACATTTCTACAAACCAACTATGAGTAACTAATTGTAACTAATGAGTAACTAATGAGTAATTAATTGTAACTAATTGTAACTAATTGTACCCACCTAGAGACGGCCAGATCAAAGCCACGTATAACGCTGCTCTCGTAGTCCCAGAGACAACTCATATCCAGATTCTCACTGTCACTCCCGGGCCAGATAACCGGCCTGTCGTACCTGAGAGTGGGGTTGTAAAATACTTGAAACTTTATTAATTTAATAAAGTACAAACTTTATTATATTTGTAAAGTATCTGTAAAGTATCTGTAAAATACTTGAAACTTTATTAATTTATAACCAACTTTATTTATAACATCTTGGGTTTTATCCGTATTTAGCTGGGTAATGGTAGAAGATTTTGATATCAGATCAGCGTTACAATCAGTACAATAGGAAAGTACAAACCGTGGAATATTGTTGATCAGCGTTACAATCAGTACAATAGGAAATAGTACAAACCGTGGAATATTGTTGATCAGAATGTTCGGACCGATCTGACTGGGACCAAAACAAATTATCTTCTCGATACAATTCTCAACTGGTATATCCTCTAGGTGCTCCTCAAGAAATAGCTTGAACTCTTCGATCTTAAAATCTGGATAAAAACTTAGTATTAGACACAATTAGATATCTGCTTTAATGTGGAAATAGCTTTTCGTACAAATATAAATATTATTTACCATCAGTGTTATACAAAAAATGTATAAAAAAACAATATTAAAATGTATAAATGTACAAATGTATAGGCTACAGGTAGGAAATAATAGGGACCATGCTATGTATATATTACACCATGTCTATTGTCTCATTTGTAGATTATAACCTGTATGTTCGTCTATGGGCGCGGGAGTATGATTAGTAGAGCCAGCAAACAGGGTAGAGTTAACCAGACATTTCAGGGCGTTTCTATTCTCTGATATGAAATTAACAAACTCCTCTGATAGAGGAAAGGCTTGTACTGTGAAACTGATGGATTTGTTGGCCGTTTGGATCGTGTGGGCTTTGCTGTTGGAAGAGTCTGACATCTCTTCAATTATTGCCTGGTGGATAGATGTTTTTATGCTCTTCAAAACTTCCCGAACATTCGTAAGAAAAAAATTTAAATCTGATAATATGCCAACTGAGATCACTCATTTTAATTTGAGGATAAAGTTTTGAATTTCAGAGCAAAAAAGCTAGACAGTAATGAATAAATTAAGTTCTACCACGTACCTCATTAACTTTGTCGAGCTTGGGAGGGATAACTATAGTTTCTCTGAAACTTACTAACGGTGGGGAGACTTTGATATCTATTTTACTGAACCTGAAATATATTGTGATTTGTGTATAATATCAAATATTCAACATCATTTAAATGGTGCACAACTTTGTGACAGACAAATAACAAGTAGTTTGGAAATAGATCACACACATCATAGCTTCTGAAAACCTAATCCATAACACTATTATACAACCAAAGAGAATAGCTGTTAGTATTATAAAACCCATAATAAGTGCGCAAGTACCTGGTTTTAAGATCCTCAATACATCTGTCCAGATGAACTTCTCCAGAAGTACAGAGCACCAGTTCTCCGGTATCCAGTACTGTGGTCTCTACACAAGGATCTGATTGGTTCAGCAGCTTCATTCCTGTAATGGTGGTGTTAACATTACAGTGACATTACAGTGACATTACAGTGACATTACAGTGCTGAATTCTTACTTAGACAGTGTGAAATCACCCCCGACATGGCACAGTGCCAAATAAGTGAGTCAGTAGTACAACTCAAGTGATATGATATCACTTAACCTAAGTATACATTATGTGTATTGGAGAAAGATATGGTATAGTATGAGAGAAAGATGTCTTTAGTCATAAGTTTAGCTTATCCAGGAACTCTTGTTGAAATCTTTAGCCTTGCCTCTCTTGCGATTACAGAGTCATAGCTAATTGTTTATTTTGGCAGTCCTTATTTCATAAAACAGAAAACCATACAATATTGAAACATGCATCCTAACGGTATAATAACTAGGACCCACAAGCAAAACTTTTATCAATCACCGAAAACAGACTGCAGCCCTTAGTTTTTATTACTTTAGTCAACCAAAAACTTACGAAGTTTCTTCACAAGAGTTTCCTCTATAAGTTATGTTTCACGTAAGTAACTCCTCACTTGTCATATGTTAAGCAGGGTAAAATACACTAATTCATTAATTACAGCAAACAGAGTTAGTGTGGGCTGTCTGCATATCCACTAATTGCACTCTAACTCTATACTGCCTGGATCAATGAGATCGCTTAAAATACTATACCGCGGATAAATCAGCATTACAGGCAGATCATAGGTATGCCGGGTATTTTACTTATTTCCACAATCATTAAAACAATGGAGACTTAAATATCTGAGCTGCGTGGCTGCACAATTATTCCAACAACTTACGTGATCTCAACACGGGGTGATAGGTTTATACTCATTGTAAAGAATTGCAGATCACAAAAAACATCATTATGTTACAAGTATCTTACAAGCAAACAAAACAAATCGTCTAATGGTTTAACGTACCCATAATAAGAGCGGGGATCTCTGCCGGGTTTGTGGGTTCAACAGCCACCCTGAGTACAGGGGTCTGCCAGTGGGACATCCCGTGGAAGGGTGGACAGAATAAGGAATCTGATATTGTGGCGCTTTTCTGGATTAGATCTTTCAGTCCGCCAATGCCGCATATGTTACCTGGATATGTTAAAGGTGAAAATGGTAATTAGCAGATTATCACAAAATACTCAGATCACAACTATGTTAAGAAAAGGAAATGCTGTCAACATTTTATTTAATATATGACAAGTAAATTCATACCCTAAATGTATAAATTAAAATGAAAGTTGATGAAGAATTGCTAAATAACCTGCAGCGACAGAAGGAACCACCTCTAGATCTCCACCCATCAACAAGTAACAAGCTCCCAGAGCTACCTTGCCCACGTGCACATTTACGCCCATAGTGGAGCGCTCCTGCGCAGCTATCGTGCGCGGGTCGTGTCGTGGGCCCAGCACAAACACCTGATTATTTAATGGAGCTAATCAAACCAATGTTGATGATTTGTCAGAATTTGGTAAAATGTAAAGTACATTTTGTGATAGGATGTTCACATCGTTAAACAGCTACTAAAGTCTGGGTTTCGATAGAGTTACCTGTTTTCCTGGTTCAATCCTTCCACTGTAAATTCTACAGAAAGCTATAAACTGCTCCTTATCAGGTTCCTTCTCTTCCTCAACAGTATCTCGTCTTGGTCCCAGCTCTGAGGAAAGTCGCATGATAAGTTATCAGATATAACCAACAATATGGAACAGCACTAGGTGCAGTGTTTAAACTCTGAAATACATCTGCAAGATATTATTTACAATCTTAAGAAAATTATATTATTAATACCGATAGTTTCGGGGTTGAAGTTGACAGTAAGTTTCTGTTGGTTCCTTATTCTGGCAGCATCTCTTCTTCGCTCAATCTCATCATCAGTAAGGGGTCTAAGGAGGGTAACATTTCAGTTAATTATCAATGTAAATCATGTTCTAGGGCTAATTACACTGGGTGCAGTTTATACATTTACAAGTACGACGAAATAAGTTTATTTAAATCTTCTTAAATTCAAATATTTTGAGGCCTCTAAATGAGGGTATTTATGGTTACCTGTGTTTATTGGTTGATATAGCACCAGGTAAGACACTGAACATTTTGCTAACGTATACTATGACGGGGTCATTGTCGTCACCACTACAATTCCTAAACGCTGAAGTTTGGAGATCCTGTCAAGAACTTTATCTTCAAAAAAATGCATCAATTCTATCAAAAATCATTCTCATCCATTATACTTGAACAAGCATGAACAAAACATCCTTAGCTGTCCTGATATAATAATATGGTCTCTGTTTTGATATATGGTTTCAGTCATGAACAATTAAAAATATTACAAGTTGTAAGGACTAAGGTCCTGAAAATCTTAACACTTCTGATATTTGAAATGAAATACAAGTTTCAACAAACCAGTTTTAAGATCCTGAGTCTCTGGGGGTAGTTGCTCTATACTAGTAACACCGGAACAGAGTAGGTTTTGTATTTTCTCAGAGGTTAGTTCGTTTGGTGCTGGTAACACTTCACACGCCATGTCTGAAACATATCCATATTCATAACTCTGCGAACATTTCATCATGGAGCTGTCAGATAGAGTGGAACTCTCAGATTTTATCTGGGGCCCTCCGCAAGCAATTCAAATAGTGATCTCAGTGATCTTGACAACACTGTACTACATTCTAAATCCACCCTGCTGAAACCTTAAGTACTGCTACAGTCGAAAGACTATAGTTTAGTTCAAGCTATTCCTTTTGTTATGCTGGTACACCCTTGCTCATACATATTGCATTAAGTATTTTGACGGAGTACAGCACAGCCAACTAAATCCACCCTTTCAAACATTCTTATACATCCTGCTGACATCACCCTGTTGTTAAAACGCATAGTAATGATGAAATACGAACACTTCAATGTCAGTAATACAAGACTACAGTCTTCCAGTGAACGTAATATCTAAACCGACATTCTACACTAGAACTTTTGAGTTTCCGTTGCGTTTATATTAATTTCACTACAAGACAGAGCATGCGATAAAAATAATAAAATGGTAAGGTGACTGGTAGAAGAGAGTGTGGGGGAGATGTGATGTAATACTCCGTGTAGTGTAGTAATGTACAGTGTAGTTGTTGACAAGGAGTTGAGTACACCTATCTTACAAGTGTCTCTTTATTACACTAATTATTATCAGATCACATCCTATACTACTATATATACTATAAACTATATACTGTATATATATATATACTATAATGTACTAATATTATATATTATTATCTCATGTAGTTGTGTACAATGTAGGTCTAGATACCAATGTAATATTTGTTATCAGTTGAAGTAATACAACTGGCGGCCCAGTACAACCCGTTAATTAATGTATCAACAGTCAACGTCAGGTACAGGTTTAGAATTGGGTAATTTTACTTCTAAACTCAAGTGAAAATAATATTATTTTTGTCCGTGTATAAAATTCAATTTGCTTTATCGAAAGTACAAAAATGACGCGGTCAAAAACTGGGAATAAGGTGACTTACCCAGAACAGTGGCAGCCATAGGCATCCAGGCGCTGCACACAGCAAATAACTGAACTCTGTAATCAGTGCTCCGTGCATCGCGGGGTGCTATCTTCAGTTTTAAAGAGGTTACTATCTGATCTATTCTTTCTTTGTTCCTAAAAATAGTTTTAGTGCACTAAATTGAAGCATTCAATTGGAAGTTTGTAAAGCTCAGTTACGTTAAATTATAAACCTGAACTGTTCTCATAAGTGTAAGAACCTGATTAAATAACAAAACTATACCTCTGTAATAACACCGCTCTGTAAACATTCCATATACTATCTAAGATGAAAGTTACAAATAGAGGTCTCTTTCCCTTGGCATAGGCTCCTTTAGATATCTGTTTAGCTTTGTTGTTCAGATAATAATCACCCCACAGTGTTTTCATGAGCACTGATCTCTTTATCCCCATTTTACGCTGGTACTGTGTAGCAAATGTAGAGATTCTGGAAGAATTCTCAACGTTAGAGTAGTAATTTACACAAACATTTTGTGTGGTGGTATTGGGTGACTCACTGAATGAACGTAATTTAGTAATTTTAGAATTTCAAGTTTGAGGAATAACTATAATTGGTGTACGTGGGGACTGTTACAACTACTGTTAGTCGAGTATTACAACGATTAGCCGACTAAAAGACAACATGGAGTTCAGTAGTAAGCTGGAAAACTCTCTCTCTCTCTCTCTCTCTCTGGAAAACTAAGCACGTGTTATGGACTGGATATATTGGAGGATTACTCCAATATGGTTTGGTTTATATTTACCTGAATGCCCAGCCGTCACTAGCACTAGCGAAGGCTACATTCCCCAGCTCCGGTGAAAAGTAAATATTGGAATCATCGTTCTCGTCGAGGTCTAACCCGCTGGACCAGTCGTACACAGAGTCACCTTAAATAGATCATGGTTTGCTTGGGTGAAGAAAATGAAAGTCAGGAAAAAGGTATAATTTCCAAACAGGTCTAAAACCGTAAGAAGAATGACTCACATACTTTCTGGTTCAGCTTCAGTTGGCAGTCTGGATTTCATATACTGAAAATAAGAACGAGATAATTCATCAATTAGGTGTGATTTTCATTTAATCATCAAAAATTTTTGTGAAACTATAAAAGAATAAATCTCACGATTCTCGTCATTGAGGTCAGACATTTTTGAAATAATAACATATATGATGGCGAGAACTATTTTCGCTGTAAGTGACAAAACTGATGAATTTCTAAGACAAACCTCCTGATGTTCCTTCTTCATGACAGAGGACGAGTGCAACTCCCCAACTTTACTGTTTATCTGCTCTAAAAGTCTCTGTAAGTGCACGTACGCCTCGTCCGGAGAAAACTTCATTTCAGTGATAAGTCTGTCGCACTTGTTGAGGATCAGACAAGGTTTTATACATTCTGCCCAAGCTTGTTGTAATACTGTTACTGTTTGTGGGCAAACTCCCTGGAGAGAGAAATCATTACTGCTACATGTTAATAATTAATTGCTAATTACTGCTACATGTTAATAATTAATTGTTAATTATTTAAATTCATAATATCATTCTTGGAACAGGAAATCTATTTGCGAGATGTTGACGTTTAACGTAACACTAGTAATACAGTAACTTGATACGGTAACTGACTACTATATGCATTACAGATATATATATATTTATAAGCTTACTTCCACCACATCAACTACAATATAGGCTCCATCACAGAGCCGCACAGCTGTTGAAACCTCTCCACTAAAATCTACATGACCAGGACTGTCTATGAGATTCAGTAAATAATCTTCACCACCTGAATGTAAGGAAAGTTAAATCATCAGTGTACTTAGAGAGCGACAACTAGCTGTTACTTGTTATTCTTATGTCATACGCTAATAATGCATATTACTGATAGTTTACTACTTGAGAACAGTAGTGATGTAAAGTCACACTGTAGATAATGTAAATAAGTTTTCAAACTTTAATAAATTGGTCCCAGGAATCAGGATATTGGAACTCAGCAGTGGAACTTAAGCTCTTTTACTCCTAAAACAGTTAACACTGCGACATGCTAATTTGCTCGAAACTTACTATTCCTATGATGAAGAGAGATTGCACTGGATTTCATAGTTATTCCTCTGGCCTTTTCTTGGTTCAGGTTATCAAGGTATCTCAGCTGTGAATAAATTGTGTTGTAACGAAGAATAATGGAGAATGAATTTATTGTTAATTACAAAATTAAACAAATGTCATTTAACTTTAATATAATTTATTTCCTTGCTTTCAAAGCTTTTGCTAACTCTGAGATTACCAATAAATTTTGGATTTGGATTTCCAATTATTGGACAATTAATTGCACAATGTTAAAATATTATGATTAAAGTTCACCAACCTTTCCAGCGAGTCTTTGTGATATGATACCATTACTAGCTATCAAAGAATCTGCAATGGTAGTTTTTCCATGATCCACGTGAGCCAGAATACAGAGATTTCTGATATTCTTGGTGTTCTCTTGGAGCATCTTTAACCTACCCTCCATGATAGCTCCTATCTAATATTGAAATTTCAGTTATATAATACGAACCATAGTCTATTTAAACTGAATTTATCAGATCTTTAAGGTACATACCAACTACTAGTTGAAACTACCAACTACAGTGAAAGCCTGATTTACCACAAACCGCGATTTCCTGCTGACATTTCTTCCCCCAAATGAGGTCTTAACATACAATAAGTAAAATTAAAACCCAATTTACCTTTAACCCTGATCTAACACAGTTGTTTCCTTTCCCCAAACTTCCTGGTAAATCAAGGTTTTACTGTACTTGATTATTATTATTAAATCTAAAATAGCTAATAATTTAATAAATTATTAACAGGCCCCTTAATTAACGTGGGCAATAATATACGCGTTTATAAATTATATAAACAAATTGCAGTCTATTTTTCCAATAGTACTACTTACTACTAACTCGGTAGACCTCGATTTACATTAGAGTTTAGGAGATGAAACAGCTCAATAAATCACAATTTGTATGCAAAGCCCCATTTTGGAGGAAGGAAATGGCAGCCTTTTGCTGTAAATCCGGTTATGCCAAAAGTAGTGCAATAAATCAGGGCACAGTAAATCAGGGTGCAATAAATAAGGCACACAATGAATCAGGCTTTTAATGCACTGTTAATAATACTTAATAGTTAAAAGTACTATTTTTACAGTATGCACTGAAGGGGTATCCTAGGAAGTTTCTTGAACTTTTAACAGGTACCCCTCCTCATTCAACCCTCAATTAAGTTTCCTATCATTCGGCTGAGTCGAGATCGCATAGATCCAATGGATCCTTAGCTACTCCCTAGACTAGGTGACACTGTTTTCAACATCGAAATGAGAATTAAATTAATAAATTCTTGTCGACATTATATCTTTGGTTATGTCAATTGCTACAGAGATAACACATTTACAAATTCTTTTCTGTACTAGCTGCCAGCTTGATTGTTAGAATTTTTGATTTTACCATCCGAATGAGATACAGATGATCGAAAACTTTACTTTAAAATATGGACTAGGGAGGCCCACAAATGTCTGCAATCATAAACAGATCCTTTACAAGTAGCTTGAATAAAGAGTCAAAAATAAGAGATTCAACGTTTCTATTTAATTCTAGGATCAAAATTGGACCAGCATTCAAATGTACAATTTTCTGAGGAATCAATTAGCGAACACTGGTCTCGACACCAGGATAAAATTGTCTCTGCAAGAGAAACTGAATCAAATAAGGGGTATGCATACTTCGAGGACAGTATAGTTTGGAATCCATGTTTGAAGGTTTGATCTAAATAAAATTCAGTTCACTTCGAAGCTATGCAAATAACCCATCAGTAACCGAACTCTCTCTGTCTCTCACAATACATTCTTAGTCAGAAAATATAGTTTTGTGATGTGAGGAGGTCTAGTGATTATTTTAGTAGTTTTCTCACAAAGTTCTATTTCACGGATTTATCTTGTATTGGGACATTTGAGTTTTAGTCTTCAAGTACAGTAAAACTTGCTGTTAAAACTGTTCTGTATTACAAATATCATAATTTTAAATGACCATGGGAATAATGATTTGATTGACAGTGTCAACCCATCGAGATCATTGCTCTGCTTCGCAGAGCAACAATCGACGATGCGAAGCGAAGACGATGCGAAGCAAGAATGCTAGTTTGCACGGCGCGTCGAAGCGGCGAAGTCCTCGAAATAACGATTAAATCAAAATAATTAATATAATAACTTTCACTCTAAACTTTACCTGGCGTAAGTGAACCCTGTAAAACGCGCAAATAAGCGCGTTTATGCAATTTTACAATTATCGAATAATCAGATTTTACAATCTAACTCAACGCGCGGCTCTTGTAGCGCATATGTCAAATAAGCAAACACGAAACAATTATAATAATTAAACGCAGTGATGTAAAATTATTATCTTTCATAACCCCATTTTTAATTTTGTTACGCCAACAAATTAGTGAATTCTTTTTTATACAGGATTGACAAAATTGGATTACATTGTCATACGTTGTATGACCTTTTGACGGATGTTACTCGTCTAAATTTCTTCGAAGTAGCGCGCGCCGCTTTCTTCTCGAAATGTTGGCCCGATGGCAAGTGCTACGAAGTAGCGCGCGCCGGGCCAGATCATTAACAATGGTCAATATGACCTTGTATCACGTTGCGACCCCCACGGTCGTTTCACTATGGTGACGATACAGGGGGAGCCGCGTACTTCGTGCGCGGCGGGTCTTACCGGGCCGCGCTCAGCCTGTCATTCCGCCAAATCTTTATTCGCTATATATGTTAATGAACATAATTAGCAAATAAATAGCCTGGGGTCCTCAGGTAAGGCGGGTCATACAACGTATGACAAGTATGACCCGCCGCGGACGAGTGCGCGGCTCCCCCTGTATCGTTATGACGATAGTGAAACCATAGTGAAACGACCGTGGGGGTCGCAACGTGATACAAGGATTACACTAATAAAAACTTACCTGAGGACCCCAGGCTATTATGTTCATTAACATATATATAGATATAGATTTGGCGGAATGACAGGCTGAGCGCGGCCCAGTAAATAAAAACATAATTTGATTCACGATGTCAATCCTTCACAGCTTGGTGAGGCACAGTGGTGCATTTTGCCGATCTACCGTGGTTGCGAGAAGAATTATTTGATGCGCGGCGCGACCCAGTAGTGCATCGCGCTACAAAAACTTAATTTTTAGGGGACTTCGCCGCTTCGACGCGCCGCGCAAACTATTAATATTATTCTCACTTCGTATCGAAATTCGTTGTTTTGCTAATTCGCAACGATCTGGAGGGTTGGCATCGTCATATATATATATTAATGCAATGAAACTATTTTTAAGCGTGGTGCAACCCATGAGTATAAATGCATTGCACTCTTTTTTAGCTCTTATTTTTCATCCTTTTCAATTAATGAAATATTTTATTTGCGTCTAATAATTAAAGTTAAGTCATTTAATTAATTGAATGTTTATTTTTAAATGAAAATTTTTGTTGAATTTTTTACTTGACCATTGTTAATTAATGGTCTGGCCCGGCGCGCGCTATAACTTCGTAGCACTTGCCATTTGCTCTAACCAGAGCCCTCTCGCTTGCAGTAGCGCGCGCCCGCTGAGAAACAAGCGCGTCACGCAGTAAGCGTAGACACATGGCTATGTGAACTTGCCATCGAGAAAAAAGCGGGGGCGCTACTTCGAAGAAATTTAGACGAGTAACATCCGTTAACTTTTTTAACATATAATAAAAGACTCATGTCGATTTTTTTTAAATAGTACTAAAAATAGATTGTATTAACATGTTAAATAATATCAAAACATTTACTAAATTTAAATAGAATAAAAGAAAATCAAAAATTATAGTATTATAGTATTATATGATATATTGGATAAGATGGAATAAATGTTTTGCATAAAATTTATTATAAGCTAAATAAAATAACTATTTGATCTGCCAGTAAGCATATGAAAATCGCGCCGCGCACATATAATAGTGTCATATCTTCTGAAGGTATATAATCACCTAAATAAATCGAGCGCTATTCTTAAATTGTTTAAAGCTGAGATCCTAGCATGATTTCAATTTTTCTTGCAATTCTCGTGACTACTCATCCGTGGAGTTTTCTATTTTGACCTGTAACTGTCTTTTGTTTATCGATAATCCTTTTTTTATCGATGTTGTTGTTGTGTTGTTTTGGCCTCATTTGTTGTGTTGTTGTGGCCCCATTTACTTTCCTATCAAATGAAAATGGAAGTATATTGCGAATGTTCATGGTTAGACATATTACGTGGCAATACTTTATTTTACTTTATTTGCTATCGGTGCATGTCAAAGTTTCGATTTAAATTGGTTGTTTGGAGTCGTCAAGCCCGATATTTGTCCCATTGGGGAGAGCCTAAGGTGTCCAAAAGAGCTTCCTCTTGTCAGATGCATAGCCATATCAGAAAAGTGAACGGTCCTGGCAGCTAACAAGCTCAGTTACTCCCTTTCCACAGAGTTTTGTTGTGATACTAAGATTTCTCTTGGCCATGTGTAGTTTGCGTGGTTTCCCTAGTATTTGGCAGGAAAAAGACGGTTGAAAAGAAAGGTTAAACCTCCCCTTGCATTATAAACGATACACAAGATTGCGCCAGGGCGACTCTCTTCCAGTATGTTTTAAGGGCAATGGTTGGGATGCTACTGCAGGTTAGATAAATCAATGACTCAGCATCACAATACTTAAGGCCATTTCAAACTCAGTCGACTGAGTGAAAAAGATTTAAAAAGAATGCCACACACATGCATTGTTTATGTCAGCAAATTTCTATCCATTCGTGTCAGATAGTAGTGATATGCTGTGATATACTGTAGCTATTTTAAATTTGATATGCTGTGCTGTTTTAGCGTACAGGTAGTAGCACTTTTGGTTCAAGTAAAGATGCTCTATTTTATGTATTGTAACTGTTTCATTGAAGTCCCACATAGGTGTCATGTTGTTCAACTTTTAGCTTTGTCCAATCACTGTCAAAAGCAGGAGGATTAATTCTAAACATGCTTTAACAGATAAATGCCAATAGTCATGTCTAAAAAGCGGCAACTTCTGTTAACTTGTTTTGAGAAGGAATCGAAACGGTCAAGGAAAGATCCACCTCAAGATGCGATCAAGAAACTAGTTTGGAATACTATCTACAGAGACAACTTACAAATCCGACATGCAGTCATTTTTTCCATAAATCTGTGCGATGAGTATCTGAACAATCTTGAAAAAGAGATTACATTTCTTACTGGTGATATGTCGAGAGTCAAGGTATTTGGAAAATGGCACAATATTCCTCGTAAGCATGCAGCATATGGTGAGGCAGGTGTTGAATATACTTACAGTGGGGTAACTGTTGCAGCAAAACCATGGACTGAGACACTGACTCTGATAAAGAAGAGAGTTGAGGGACTTACATCATTTTCTTACAACTTTGTCCTTGTAAATCGTTATGCAGATGGGAATGATCGGATGGGATTCCACAAAGATGACGAAAAAGAATTAGATACATCAGTTCCAATTGCCAGTATATCTCTTGGTGCAGCTCGTGATTTTATTTTGAAGCACCAGGACCCTGAAGCTGGTATACCTAATGAGACGATTTTGTTAGAAAATGGGATGTTGTTACTGATGGAGGGAAAAACTAATGAGTTTTGGTATCACGGCTTACCTACCCGCAAGAAGTGCTCTAGTTTGAGAATAAATCTAACATTTAGGAAAATTGTTGTTAAATAATTAGCTTGATTTTTAAAAGCTTGAATATGACCATTGAACTTTCATAGAATGCTATATTTATTTTTTTACTATCCTATGAATTTTTTACTTTTAAATATTTATATTTTTCATTTAGTTCAATTATTTAGATTCAATTATTTTATGATTAGATTGTTAATATGCAACAAGTGGCTCAGAATTTTAGAAGTACAGTAAATTATATTTAGATCAGTGAAGTGGGGTTCCTTGGCCAAATCCATTTTCTTCATTTGAATTTTATTCTTTAGTTTTAAAAATATCCCACAAGATTCTTCCCAGACTGAAATTTATATCATAGTGTTAGTTTTGAAATACATTCATGCGACTAAATTAATATCCCTTATCAGTCATGGTATATGGAACAGCAAGACATGAAATCGAGACATAGAGAATGTGGGGTCGGTTATCGGGAGTTGCAAACAACGTTGCTGGAGTTGCAAGCAATGTTGCTGGGTTTGTAGGCCACACTAACGATGAGCAACTACAGAGCGAACTGGACAGTTACCGGGACATTCTCAGCACAACCCAGGAGGAACTCAAATCTGCTCGACAGACGATAGAGGAGAGGGATCAGGAGATCTTTAATTTGAGCACAGCAAATGTTTCTACATCAGAGGTATGTGAAATATGTTTATGGCTTGTTTTAATAAAAACAAATACCCGGCAATGTAGCAAGTTTTAATTCCTATCTTGTTAAAGATATTTTACTGTTCTACAATCTACATGATACTCTGTTTTTTGTGGTCCTTTCATGGTCATAGAGTATACACCCTAATAAATAGTCGGATAGTGATCTTATTAATCTTTATAATCACTAGTGCTAGAACTGCAACATTATATAATATATAATATATAAATACAGGCCAGGGCATACCATAACATAAGGTGAAATGCCCTGACGTTTGAAAGGAAAAGCTGCAGGTCACTAGTACAAACATATTTAGATGAGATAAAGGCTTGCATACATAATATGAACATAATCATAAAACCAGGTTAATTCAGTTTAATTTCATGTACTACCTGTCGTATGTTGTAAACGTACACTTAGTAGTCAAAGGCAGGTACAGATACATTAACTCCGCTTCACGACTATTTACAGTAACTTTCACCCACTAGAAGGCAGCTAGGTAAACTAGACTCAAAGGCATTGCATCTTTGATTTAGTCAGCGTAGGAATTCAAAGTCTTAACTCATTCGTTTAGCCATTCAACCTCTTAACTCTAGCTCTGATACGGTTAATACATTTATCATTTGGACATTTCTGTGTTGCCGTTTTGTTCTTTGTTTACGTTTCACTACATACACTACAACTATAGTTGTAGCTCGAATATTGTACACTGTACAGTGGGCTTAAAATGTTGTCGTTTGACATGTTTGCTGAAGAATGACTGGACTTGGAAAGTTGAGAAGAGCTTTTTCTTTAAGAAAGAAGAGGAATAGTACAAGTGAAGCTTCAACGACCACACTAACACTCCACAATTGCTCTTCAGACGTGTGTAGTTTGTGTTTAGTAATATCACATCAAGACCATTTTATTCTATCTCGTTACCGCTTCTTTTGTGCAGTTGTACACTTGTACTGTACTGCTTGATGCTTGCCAATTACACAACCAGGTTGAGCGGCAAACTGGGTTTCACAAGCCAACTAACATTGTGTCAGCCTTTACTTCCTTATTAAAAGTCACGTGATACGATAACTACATAGTATTGGGTGGATGAAACTTTGGCGGGCTCAAACTAGGACAATATTGAGGCATACTGTGTGCCAAGCATCTTTCATAGTTAAATCTATCTGCAAATTATCCAAATTAGTCAAGTTATACATTATACTAAATTTAGAATTCAAGGACACAACCGCTATTATACATTTAGGCACGAAATCACAGTTCAGTAAATTTTCAGAACCGAACCTCAGAAGATGTTGAGAAGATCCGAAACAAGCTAGCTAAAATATCCCTGAACGATCCGGACCAGATCGAGGATGTTATCTCAGAGATATCTTTTTCATTATCGGAGAAATCCACGACAATTACTAAACTACAGACTATTATTGACGAGATGAAAGAGAAACAGAATGACCAAGATTTGGTGGGTATTTTATTGAGATGCTCACAATGACACTATTTGATATTTTATCTTACTTCGTTAATCATAATATTGATCATAGATTTCCGTCTTCATTTTGATCGACTCACTAAAGCAACTGGTCTGATGGGGTTTTTGTCATAACTGCTACTATTCATTATATTTGAATACCTACAATTGTTGCTTGAGTTTTAAGCTATAGGCTCTCGAGTTTGTACTAACTATTTTCTCCTCCAGCCCCCAAACAGTCCAACATGTGACGAGTTTTACGAGAGCCAAATCTCCAGACTTACTGATCTGTGCACTTCACTGAAGCGCAAAGAGAAGAACATCTTGAGTGAAGTAAGTTTGTCAGCTTCATTTCTGTGTGGTTTGTGAAAACATGGGAGTATGTTACAAATAACTTAGAAACTTAAAAACTTAGAAACTTAGTCTGTGAGCTATTTCTAGTGTAACCTTACACCAGCTGACGATCAACCATCATATTAAAAAATAGTTGCCATAGTAACGCCATTTTACCATATTTAATGACAAATATTACTCTAGGTTTTCATTACACGCATATAATTCAACATGCTCATATGACAGTCTCAGTCTTCTAATCTCAAGTATAAGACTAGTAATAATACAAGGTATTCTGCACTACACGCAGTCACACAGTGCACAGCTGTTGGTGCGGTGCACTTAATAACTAATAACAGTACAATAACCTCAGCAGTAGTGTATACACATACAAAACCAAATTAACCACACACCTTGTACGCACAATGAACACGTGGTGTTCGGACAAAGCGCAGTAACACAAGTCTGGCAGATAGTTTGAGTTACGTAGTGTAGTTTGATCGCTGTTGTAGTGACCAGTGATGTAGTGTGTTGTATGTTGTCTCCCTTGTATTTCACTCTTAAATACCAGTTGGAAGAGCTGAGGTGCGAGTTGACAGACGCACGTGCAGAGATTCACCACCTCAAAACGGAGAAGGGAACGAGTGAGGTGGGGGGCGAGACTCAGGACCTCATCACCAGGTACCTTATTTGTACAGTTTAAATATGTTGTGTACAGTAGTACTACTAGTTAGTACGGTGTAGTTTTGAAATATTACTTAATCTATTATTTCAACTGTTGTTATGACTGATGATCTGGTTACTAGTATCTATGAGTTCTGAATTTCCAGCTTACTTATTTTGTAACCTGTAAAGTTTCCAACCAAATGCTGCCAAGAGAATAAGTGATATTTCTTGATATGCTTGTAGCTTGACGTGTGAGAAAATGTCTGAATCTTTAGCCAGTAATGATGCATTATTGGCACAGTAACGCAGTTTAAATGCATCATTATTGGCTGAATATTGTCACATGCAGAGCAATTACTGGCTATTAGAATAGGAAAATAGTGCTACTCGTACAATTAGTGTAATAAGATGACGGTTAGCATTATATCTGGGTAATAAAAGTTAATGTTACACTGAAATATAAGACACTTCTTAGACGCCCACATTCTTGTGCCTTGTCGTGTGATAATACGTGATTGTGTGACATGTGTCAAGAATTGTGTTACTAAGTAATATTGCGCTATTTTGACCGTGGATATAATTAATATTACTCTGTTTAAATTAGATAATATCCCAGATTGGAAGAAGAAAACAGGTTACTGCTGTCCAAAGTTGCTTCAGAGGCTGCTCACAAGGATATCTTGCGAGACCAACTTGATACTCTTAAAGAAAACAACCAGGAGAAATTCCACCTGCTAGGTACACATCTCTTACTCTGTTATATTAGTCTAAGTTTTCAGATCTCAGTTTTCATTTCTTTATTTTCTATATTATCAATGGCTTTTATACGACTTAAAAATATATCAAAAGAATTACCACTCATTTTCTGGTTACCACAATACTATTGATATATTCTTCAGATAATATAAAAGAGCTCCAAGAAGCAATGCAAGATAAAACAGCAGAGTTGACATCAGAGCGTACTAATGTAGCTGATCTCACTGGCGAAGTTGACAATTTGCAGGAACAGCTTGCTGCCTTCCTCGGGGAGAAACAGAAGAAGTTACAGGGAAATCTATTCGAAGTTAAAGTATGTTTTCAGAATGTTATCCTTGTAACTTTTTTCCATCTTGAAATTTGTTGGTTCCAGTATTTTTACACCTCGACAGAACTAAAACTGAATTAATAACAATTTAAATTTGCTGTAACTCTGACCGCGTGTGTTATTCTAGGAGACAGAAACAATGGACGAGGAGATAGAGAGGATTAAAGTGGAGAACGGAATGTTGATCACCAAAATCAGCGACCTCATGGCTGCTAGAGACAAGGCCAGGTAATCTTAAACATGAAATATCTGTTTTATCTTTATCAGTTTGATCCTATTATCTCAAAACTAAGACGTGCCCCCCGGCCCCCCGCCCCCCCCCCCCCCCCCCCCCCCCCCCCGGCATTCCACAATAACCTCACATTTACCCCCTCCCCAGAGAAGAGATAGAGCTGTTGACGGAGAGAATGTCCTCGTCTAAAGACAGTCTCCTAGTAGAACTCCGAGAGAAGGAACATGAACTAGAGGACGCTATGATGATAGTATCTCTTCTTCAAGAACAGATCAAGGGTAAGGGTGGGGAGGAGGCTGATAAAGTCACCTCTCTGTTGGAGGAGATTAAAGATAAGAACAGTCTTCTTCCTAAAGTATCCTTCCTTCAAAAAGGTTTGTATTATATCAGTATTATTATTTTGCTAAAGTTAGGTTGAACAGTTATCCTCCAAAAATCCCGTTTTTGCCACTTATCGCGATAGTGGTTGAACCATATTTTATTAGAACGTGTTCAAACGTTAAACTTATTCAGAGCTTGCTGAGGCAAGGAAACACGTGGAAGAGTTGAAAGAATCTGAGACCGCTCGGAGGTTAGCTTGTGGTGACGAACCTGGCGTCCTTCATGACGAGGTAAGTTTCTGGTTTAATGTGATTTTCGTTCAATGAGCTGATCTCTAGCATTTTTCTGCTGATTCAAAATAAGTTTGGTCTATTTGAAAAAAGCATTTTCATTCATGTTCACTCTTACATTCCCTAAGCACTGAGGGTACTTGAGTATATTAACCACACAATATTAGGGCAACTTCCGGCTATGTCAGTACTGTGAAACACTAGGACTAGAAAATCAGTTTAACAGAAAGAGGCTAGTTTATTGTTTAGTTTTGTTTCTTGAGAAACAGGATAAGTAGGCTTAAAGTTAAAAGCGACCATGCATAACCCATATAACCAAAACAACAAGCGGTCTCTATAATAACATTTACATTTTATGATATTGCAACATGCCGACTCCAGGGTCCTTCAAATATCGTGTTGCTTCAACATTACGACATTTCCATACAAATATATTCAAGCATCTTTTCATCAAAAGAAAATATTGCCCAATATTCCCCAATATTCGGAGGGTCGATCTATTACTGTGACGTTGATATGAGGGGCTTATTCTTCTTGACCCTATAAGGATAAATACTCTCAGAAATAATGCATCTTTATTTATACTTTTGTTTTAAGGGCCTGAAAATAATTAAATATTTAAATTCGCTAGGGTACTTTTGTTAGTAAAATTGGGGCTGGTCAATCTAAATAGTAACCGCAAATAGATGTAATTTTTATATATATGAGGAACGATCGATATTGTTAGAATCACTTTGATACGTAGATATTACCAGACTTTTCATTTCTCAAATGTTCCTCAGATCATTCCAGTGTTTCAAGGTAAACGACCCAATAAATTTCCTGCTCTTAACGAAATTATTTGTGATAATTGTTTGCGCGCGCCAGTAGATATAATAGCCATCACATCAGTAAATCAGTTCCAGCTCACCAGATCCCACCCACCTGACTTATGACCACACCCACATTCCACACCCCCACTCTCAGGGTGACCCACCCTATCCTACAGATCCCGCCCATGTCCGCGTCGCACTTTGCGCCGGATGTGGAGGACGTGGAGGAGCTACAAGAGAAGCTGCGCACCGCACACCGCACCCTGTGCGAGTGGCAGCGGCTGTGTTCTGACACTGTGGCCGTGTGGCGCCAACTAATTGCCCAGGTACCATGCTTGTTCTGGTGCATGATGATGTTTTGTGCATGGTTTATGTTGTTTTGCTTTTGGTTTTTATAACGCGTGTCATGTTTTTTTGGAATAAAATGCGGTACAGTACGGGAGAGATGTTGCTACGCGTGAAATACTTTTAATACTTTTAATACGGCGCTATTGTATACGCTGCAGTGGTCATTATAATAACTTTAACGTTACATTGTACTAGAAAGTGTTAATGATGATGACTTAGGTTTATCAGGGTGTATTGTTACACGTACCTTTTAGCACCTGACCACCAGCCCCCGCAACGTGTGTAAGAACTCTTTGTAACCTGATTTCATAATTATCAGAAGACCGTCATTCACCAGGATATTAATTAAGTTAGCCGGTTTCATGTACTGTATTATGCGATCTTCGTCGGGGGTTTCAGTCAGTCATGTCTCATGTCCAAATATGGTATAATTGGCTAACCACGCTGAAAATCTTTGTGCCACGTCGGCGGTTCAGAAGTGAGTATATAGATTGCCTTGGTTCTTTGAGGTTGCTCCCCTGGATCGTCTAAATTACCACTTGGATCGAAACATTAGTATTGACTATTGATCCGACTGATTTGCCTCAGTTTATTCACCGTTGTAGCTGTATTTCATGATATATTATTAATTACAAGTATTGCATAATTCGCTGCAGAAGTTGCAACCATTACTGAATCTGACACCCACTACATACTGGTTATTACTCACTATTTTTACTGCTTCTGCGGATAATTAGATTGCTTTAAGATCCGGTAACGTGTACTTTGCTTTGGTTGTGTTTGTTTTTAGTAACTACTGGAACATGCGTTACATACAACAGTAGATCATGTAGATACAACGCGTAATCTCTATTTGAGTGGTACCGGTCATTTGTAGAGAGGAGATGTTTCGTAATTCTTACAGCACTAGATAGTACTGTACCTATAAATGAAGTCTGATGTAGCCAATTGAAATGCTAACTTTTATATAGATCTGATAGTATCTCTGTGAGTCATGTGACATGTCACGGGGGTTTCAGTTAATTGTTGTTAAGTCAGTCTTGACAGCTGTTTTTATTGTAAATATTAATTCAATTTGTCAGTTCTACACTCGACCATTTTGCAGCTTTAGCCGTGTAAATTTGTACATTTTCCACTCTACAAATACAAACCTTGCATTTGAGGAGTTGAAGGATAGCGTTATCGTAAATATTTACATGGTTTCTGGTTTAAAACCTGATAGGTTCCATAGAATCCAGACTCACTATCTGTTGGAGCTCACTTTAACCACCTGGATCAGACTGATTACTGCAGTAATCACTAATTCCTGATATGTCATATAAACCCTGCATGTACATATTTCTTGTATAACATTAAATCCTGGTATTAGTTATCTCATTGTACACTGCAATGTGACCACTGACCAATGCTCCTGGACCAAGACCTGTCTTTCCGGTCTGTTAATTAGCACCAATTTCCACTGTAATTAGTTTGCTCGCTAATTTAGATCTTCTGCTCCATTTGCTTTGTAGACAATACAAATGGACCAGCCTTTGTTCCAACTGTTGTTTGTGTCTTTGTTTTTGTTTGTTTTTTTGCTGTTTTGTTTATTCTAATTGTCCGGACACTCCCTTCGCTTATTCACAACTCTCGTGTCGTTTAAACTATCTGTGAAGCGATAATTGCTTGAAATTACGTTTTTAAGTACTCCATAATTAACAGCCTGACGATTTCATGTGTCACATCTGCAGCCAGACATCCAGATTCCAGCGACCAGCACATAGCTAACATTGTACCCGCCCACCCAGCTTTTAACATGTTCTGATAAACTACATAGTGAGCGAGCTGCAGTTAACTAGCTAGCTGCAGTTAACTAGCTAGCTGCAGTTAACTAGCTAGCTGCAGTTAGCGAACTGAAGCTTCCTCACCACGTACATCATCAGAACATTTAAAAAAGTCGGCCCTGTAATATTACTAAGTGTCAAACCACCCCTCAACAGTGCTGAGGACTCAACACGACACGTTGCAGGCTTCCTTATATCATCTCCCCTGGTTCAGTGACTAGTTCAGTTGAGAGTGCTCCGTATCTCTCTCTCTTGTATTAGAGAACGTGATGAGAGAACGCTCACTCGCCAGTATTGATCCTGGATTGTTGTATTCGTAGCTTTTATTTAAGTTGTGTTTATTTTCATCGCTTTTATATTTGATTTTGTGTGCTGGTATTTGTATTGGTTTTTGAAATTGTACGATTCAGCTTGGTGACTTTTAGTTCCGTTTGTAGTTTGTTTAACCCCGACTATTTGCCCCTTTTTGCCTTTGCTTGGATTTAATTTTAATACCGAGAGTTAGAACTAACATTCCTCTGTCTGGTGTATTATCTGAACTAACATTCCTGGTGCTCTAGTTCTAGTGTCAGATGATGTTAGTACATGTTTGCTGGATACATACGAAGGCTCCGAAACGCTCCCCAGCCTCGATCCAATGTTAGCATTACAACACCAGGCAACAGCGGTACATCACCATGGAAACCAGCTTACAGCAGGAGCTCTATTTTACATGCTCTGGAACAGAGTATAGCAGAGTCTATCTCCGGGGAAGTAAGTTTTAGTGCACTGTTGTAACTCACTGTTTTATTTTTGATTTTCTCGGTTTATTGTCCGTATTCCAGTTTAGCTGTTAAGAATGTTTGAACACTGATGTACTATTAATTGTTTTATCACTTTGTACTGTTCGTTAGCTCAAGAGTCAAGATTACATTGTACTTGAAACATGAGATATAAGTAGTTCAGAGCTTCCTAACACACACTTAAAATATCTCATTATTGAAATAGCACAATTTCAATATAGTTACAGCTGTGCACTTAACTCAAGAAGTTAAGCATTTAAGTAGCTAAACATGAATGTAAATATACCTTGGAAAATCTCCAAGGATTGTTCACCGTCATCGTATTCAAGAATAATAAATATATTGTCTGTATATTGCTGTGATATAACCTAATTACTGAGGCCCACAATTCTATTTCCTCTTTACGGATCAGTATTTTGTTTACGTTCCGCTGCTCGTTATGTACCTGGATCATATGTTGTATAAACTTTGGACAAGAGGCTAGAATCTCTTTTCACTTGTCAGTGGTTGAGATGAGAATAACTTCTTTTGGACGAAAGAGACGGAGTAGTCACCCTCTTCGTGACGTATGTTTTGTTTAAACTTGTATTAATAATATTGCGGAGTCATGGTTCTAGGCTATTTGAAAGGTGGCAGGGTTATGTGTAGAACATGTCCCACCACGACTAAATCCCACGCCTCACTTTATACCATAAGATGGTGCCATTACTGATTACTATCGTCAGCAAAACATTGCTGCTTATTATACATTTCCTCCTGGTCTTGATTTGAAGCAAATGCGTAAGTAATACTGTATGTACCGTCTCCGAGTGAGAAACTGCAGATCGTAACACGGTCTTTGCTCCTGGTATGTATTGTAAACTGCAGTCTGCAGTACGTGATCCAGTGTCTGGCCCTATCTAGACGTTACATATTGCACCACACTATGGAAAACACACCGTTTATTTAGGGCTTCTTTAGGATTTAGCAATAAGTACTCAGCAGATTGAAGAACGGAATTACCAAGCCGTATTAGAACCACCCAATAGAGGCAGTATATTATCATTTCATAAACAGCTCTTTTAGAATCTATTCTATCACCCTAACTACAGATAGAGAGTAGCACATGATTCATGAATAATTCAGAAATGTAAGTGGGAAAATTCATTTAATACCTTTGTTTTTTATAAAGGTAACTTCATACTTTCGCATGGACATTTCTGCCAACATTGAATGTTGTGTAGATTAGATTAGAATAGAATATAATCTCTAGTAAACACAATATTCAATGACTTCATTAAACAAATCAATAATTGTGTTTCGTTTTCTGCACACGTACACGTGGGTCGTGGAGAGTTTATAAACACAATTGTGACTGACTCGGATCCGCGTTGGTTTGTTTTACATGCCTTATGTTATAAATTGTTAAGGTCTTCATCATGGTCTTCGAATCAGTTGACTATCGGATGACTTTGCCTCCTTCTAAAGGATTTGGTGACTGGTTCAGTACAGTTGCCAGGCAATAGGGTCAAACCCCGCCCTCGTCCAGCGCGTTACGTTTAGTCGCACCTATTTACTAGCAAAATTTTGACATTAATGTGACGAAAGGTGCTCCGTTGCGGCGCGGTGTGTGGTGAATTTTGATGACGTTTAACGCGCGCTTTGCCAGCGTAACGTATTCGAATCCGGTATTAAGAATAGTATGATGGTTATTTCGACCAGCTACCTGGACTTGTATAATATCGTCCCAGGAAATGGAGTTACTTGGCGAACAAGAGGAACCCTTAAAACAAATTGAACATGATGTTTTTGCTGCTATGCGTGCTTTTTACGTTGAGTTAGCAACGTATGTCAATGTTTCACACACGGCTAAATTTGTGGCCCTGGTAAGTCAGGCTGATAGCTGTGAAGTACTGAAAATGACTTATTCGAGGCTACCCTGTGAACTTACCTCAATTGTTATGGTTACTCTCCGCTGTGCTGAGTTCACCTCACATTTAACTATCGACGACAGTATAGCATTTTGAAACGTACGCTGTTCATCTTATGTAGAGTCTCATGCATGACTAATTTTGGCTGGTTTCCTAAAAATCACGCTGCTTTTCAATGAATTTCTACCACTCATTCCGTCAGGAAAACACAATTTTGGCAATTCAACGTGTTACATTTAACCTGTTAAATCTGCTCATAATGTTAATAACTCTTGAAGCTTTACCTCTTGGACTGTTTACCTTACAATTGTGTTGCTTTTATTGCTTGTGAACTTCTTTATAACCCCTTAAAGTTTTGTATAATAACGTACAGAAAATGTACAGCACGCAGTACATTTAAATTTTAGGACTGAGGCTTCTTTTGACTTAATCTGATTAGTATTTTTGTTTCAGGACGGGTCAAGACGTCTGCCAAGTGTCACTGAAGAAGATGAGGGTCGTTCTGTGGTATGTTTACTTGGATGGCAGTTATACTTTCTGTTTCACTTTCAGTTTATACTTTCTGTTTCCCTTTCTGTTTAAAGAGATTAATCTTTTCTCTAGATGTTCTAGTTTATGACTGGAATTATCAAACTTACTTGCTATTCTGGGTTTTGCTTTTAACCTGATATCTTCAGGGCGAGCACTCAGAGCTACACGAGTTAATCACCACAGCAGAGCTACTTCAGGACCAGTACCGAGTGCAATGCTCCACCCCACCAGACAACACTGAAGTTGAGCACCTCCAATCTGAAGTTGAGCGTCTCAGAGACTGTATCCGGGCTCGAGAGGAACTCATCTCCGGACTTCGTGAAGATATCAGCTTGAGACAAGAAAAGGAATCCAGTTACAGGGAAAAAGTGGCTGAGTTGTACAGTGAGATTGAGAAAAGCCAAGTTCGTCAAGAAGTCAAGGATGTTATTGATTTCAGTGATTCTTTCGTGTCAGGTCTTGAGGAGCAGCTCAATATCGCTCAGAGGATCTTGAAGATTAAGGAAGAGGAAATATCTGGTCTAAATAGGAAAGTTAGTGAGTTGACAACTCGACCCATGACTCCTACTTCGCCTGCTCCTAGATTCGACAGTTATGTGGAAAGCAATGTCAAAGAGTCAAATCAGAAGATAACTGATTTGAATAAACAACTGGTAGATGAGCGGGACCAAAACGTCAACTTACAGATGAATATTGACGAACTAAACAGTCAGATTTCAACTCTTCAAAATGATAACTCTAAAAAGACTGAAGATATCAATCGAATTGAGAAAGAATATGAAGCTGAAATGTTGAACATGTCCGCAAACTACAAGGACCAAAAAGCTTTGAACTGTGAAGAATTAGGTCAACTCACCAGTAACGTTGAAGATCTCAACTCTGAAATAAAAGACTTGGAGCGTGACAATATGTATCTTCGTGAGAAGTACGAGCGAGTGAATCAGGAGCACATTGCTCTCATTTCTCAGCTGGAGAATGAAGGCGATGGAGAAGGGGTACAACTTCATGCCATCCAGGCGAAGTACAATCTGAAGGAGCAGCAATTGAATAATGCCCTTAACGAGATCGACGTTCTGAGAGAGTCACTGCAAGCCAAACGTGATGCAGTGAGCGAACTGGAGCACACTTTATCGGAACAGCGCGGAGTTAATGTAAACCTTCAAGATCTCATCAATGAGCTGAAAGATAAGTGCGATGTTCTGGGCGATAAGGAGTCCGAGTATCAAAAACAGATCAATGGCCTCTGTCAAACTATCAAAGGATACGAAGCTGATAATGATGAACTTCAAGCCACCCTTGCTGAAGCTACACAAAAACAATCCATGCAAGGATCACATATCCAACACTCTATTCGCGATCTGAGCTCGGCGTTACAGGAGTTGAAACTTTCCAAGGAGAGTCTGAAAGTTGACGTGCAGTCTGACCTCAACAATATAGCTACGCAATGGTCGGAGTGTGTCGAGGAAATCAGGAACCAGACTCTTCAGATATTGTCTTCTGATAATGACAATAATCCTGCAGTTAACTCTAAGATATCATTAATTGTATCCAGTATCAAAAAGCTGCAGCAGAACTATTTGTCCATCAAGTCAGAGGTAGAAACATTGCTTCGCTGCGATGTGAACACTATCTTCCCTGAACTAAAAATAGAACTCGACAAAATCGTTGTGCTATCAGCTCAGAAAGATGAGAGAATTGAATTTCTGGAGCAAGAGGTTCAAAAGTTTAAGACCACTGGTAAGAAGATCATAGATAAGATGAAAAAGCAGGTGAAAGATAAAGATATGATGCTAAAGAAAATTGCATCACAGTCCGGGGACGCGGCAGTCATAGCACTTCAAGAAGCTAACACGTCAATGACAAAGCAAATTACTACTCTTGAGCGTGACAATGAACTACTCACTACCGATATCTCTACTTTAAAGGAACAATCTATTCTTCTCGAAACTTCTCTGACCGAACAAAGCTCTATCAGCAGTGAAGTGGAAACATTTATTCATCAGTACCAGGCTATCTATCAGTGTCAGATTATCGATAATGATTTCGATATCTGTGTTTTTAGTACTGCAGCCTCTCGAATGATAAACTTAGCTCAAAATAACGCCGACCAGTTGCAGGATATGAAATCCAAAGACGAAAAGAATATGAGTGTTATCAATGAACTTTCGTTAGAAGTGGAGGATCTTAAAAGACTTCAGGAAAGCTTGACAGATGAGAATAAGAACACAAAAGAAGGAAAAGAATCTCTGCAGAGGAATTATGATGAGGTTTCAGATCTGATAGTCCAAAGAAATAACGAAATCGAATCTTTGACGAATGAAGTATCGTCTTTACGGGACCTGAAATCAGTTCTTATATCTAAGGATGGGGAGATCACTAAACTGAAAGAGACAGTTACCTCTCTTAATGATGATATAAACTCGACTCAACAGTCTCTTAGCAACATGAATTCAAGCAATTCCAACAAAGTTTCAACTCTTCAAGTTGAGATAGAAGAGTACATGGAGAAGAACAAATGTCTACAATGGGACGTTTCTAACCTGACAGAATCCTTGGACTGCAAGCAGCTAGAAATAAAGAAGTTGACAGATAAGTTGGAGCTGATGATGACTGACTGCCAAGATAAAGATGCCTCTATTAGCGAGCTGAATGTTAAGTGTGAAGAATTGGAGCAGACTCTCGATACCCTCACTTCTCAGGTCTCCTATTTAGCTGAGGAAAAAGATTCCCTAGAAAAATCCTTGCTTGAAAAAGAAAGCGAGCTCGATCAGTCTGTAAACATGACCGTACCCACTCACGATAACATGTTAAAGGAAGCATTAGCTGCGAAGACGAACGAATGCAAGAAGTCCATGGGAATAATCAAGAAATTCAAAATGATTAAAGGAGAGACAGATAACAAGTGCAAATCATTAGAAGTTCAAGTAGCAGAGTTGCAAAGACAACTTTCCAGCGCACAGGAAAAGTTAGCCGTCCAAATACAAGCTAACGACAAACCGCCTACACCGATTGAATGTATCGAGATGACAGTAGAAGAAGTGCCAGAAATCTCAGTGTCAGTACAATCTGCTGTACATGCTGGAGTGGAATGTGTTGATGACAGCTCAGCTATTACGGACACTAATTCCGCTAACGTACATTCTTCATCTGACCACGCGGCAGTGTCACGTGGATCTGACAGCCAATCAGCAGATATAATTGCCGCTCAGGAAAGTACAATCAGCTCGCTTCAAGGTGAGGTTGTACATTTGTATAACGAGTTGCGTTTGTTTGAAGATAGTTGTGTTTCTAAAGACGACTTCATTTCGACCCTCGGTGAGCAGCTTGCACTAAGTAAGCAACTTCTAGCCGAAACTAAACAGGACTGTGAATCTAGATTGGTTGAACTTCAAAGAGAGCACGTGGAGTACGATGAGCTTGTAAGACGGATGCAGAAAGAGAAAGAAGAATGGTTAGAAAGAGAGAAGCAGTTGACGGCTCAAGCTAGCCTTACTGAAGCTGAAACAGTTAGACTGATGAGCGGCAAGCTGCCAGTTCAAGAACAAGACGCAATGTCGGAAGTGTCGCACACCTCTATTATGTCACATGATACAAGCTTCATGTCAGTCAGCTCCATACACAGAGACATGCCCAATGATGTGGAGTCATTACAAGCTGAACTTATGAAGAAGAACAAACTAGCTTTCCTTATCAAGACAAAAGCTAAGAAGTTGGAGTCGAGAGTGAAGGATGCCAAGAGGGAAGCTGATAAAAGTCGGGCTCATGATAGAGTCAAAGAAAAGATCCTTGCAATTGAAACTGAGCTCTCAAATATAACAGCTCAGCTAAGAAATCTTTCTGCCGGCAAGAAGATTGAGAGTCAGACTGTGAAGATTGATCCTAAGTACGTGGAAGAGATAGAGGGTCGGCTAAAACAGAGCTCTGAAAAATACGAACAGATCATGATTGAATATCAAAATCATATAAGAATAAAGGATGACGCTATTGATGAAGTCGATCACTTAAATCGTAACTTGCAAGATCTTGAGGATCAGATGCAATTATTGCAGGAGGATCTTCGTAATAAAGATGATCTGCTATGTGAACACATCAATGCTGCTGCTGAAGACGACGCAAGGAACGATGCAATCCGGGATAAGTTCGCACAACAGAACGACGAACTGGGCCATCTGAGAGATCTCAACAAGAAGATGAAAGAAGCTCTTATCGAAGTGACAGACGAGTCTGCCCGGATTGAGCAGACCTACAAGTCCACCATGCACGAGTTAGAGGAGGATGCAGATCAGTTAAAATGTGATAATGCTACTTTGAGTAACGAGCTTACAAATTGCTGGGCTAAGATCGAGGATTTGGAAGAGCAGAACCAGAACTATATGAATTTGTTGGAGAGTGCTCATGTCCAACTTCGGGACCAGGGCTCCAATAACCCTGAACTAGACAGTATGAAAAACTTGAATGAGAATTTGAACGAGCAGCTGAATCAGTATGCCAATGCAAATCAGGATTTATCTGAGAGATTATCTGTGTCCGAACGGGAAAAGTTCGAGGTACTTGACCAGCTTGTTGAAGTGAAAGAGATGTATGACGAGTGTCTTGAGTCAAAATCTGTCATTTCTTCTGAGAAAGACAAATTACTTTCTCTCATCTTACACCTGGAATCGAAGATAAAAGAAAGCGAGCACACTTTAAGGGAGGAACTGGATTCATCAAACAGGACTCTTTCTGAATTTGAAGCATGCAAGGCTCAACTTGAAGCCCTTCAAGATACCAATACCCAATTACTATCTCAATTAGAATCAGCTAGTTCATCCGTTGAGTCAACCAAATCTGCGCTTTCCTCTAAGCTGAAACATCTTCAGGAGGAACACTCTCTTGTCCGAAACCAGTTAGAAGAGTCTCAATTTTCAGTTGATTCCTTACAGGAGCAGTTAAACATTGCAACCGACGAAAAGACTAAGACAAGTATTCAGCTGGAGAAGGTCCATAACCAATTGAATGATATTCTCAGTGATCACCAAGGTTGTCCTGCAACTATAGCTTCTTTGGAAAACAGGTGCAATTCCTTGGAGGAAGAAATCATGAGTAACAGCGAGCTTATTGAATCTCTGAAAGAGGAGCAGAATTTGATCATGGAATCAAATATGGAGGTGGTCCGGGAGAAAGATCTTGAAATCGAAAGACTCAATTCAATTTGTCAAGATAATGCCGTTGTCGAAGAGACACTGACTTCTGTCAATATTGCAGTACAGAAACTAGAAGCAGAAAAAGAAAGACTCGAGCTTGCTATCGCTGAAAAAGCGCTGATTGAGGAAAACCTAAAGTCAGAATTGGTGGCGAATAAGGAAGCCATTCAAAACCTTAAGAAAGAAAAAGACGAAGCAGAGTCAGCTTTCACTACGATGAAGGCTGGATTCGACACTGAGATTACTGACAAAGATGCCTCCCTTAAATCTCTCCAGGATATAATCGAGGAGACCAAGATTTCCCTTGATGAACTGAAATCTTCTAAGTCGATAGAACTCGAATCAGCTAACACTCGGAAACAGGAACTAGAGAATGAACTTTCATCGTCTCAGAACTCCATCTCAGATTTGCAGAGACAGATCGAAAGTCTTCAGGGTGAATCGTCAGCAGCGTCTCTTGATCTCTGTGCTAAGCGTGAACAACTCGAAAAGGAGCTGGAATCTGCGCAAAGTACTAAAGAGGAGTTAGAAAAACAGGTGGAAGAACTAACGGCTACCAATGCAGAGAACGCTGAGCGACTTCATGAAGCAGGCTATAACCTTGAGCAGTGGGCGTACTATAACGAGACACAGCAACAGATAATGACAGACCTTCAGACCCAAGTTGCTACTCTTACTGAAGAAGCTGGTAGTAAATCTGCTGATCTTCAAGATGAGATTGATAAGCTGAGTGGTGAAATTGAGACGCTTTCTACAGAGAAAAACAAGCTTGACGACGAATTGGCAAACTTGAAAAATCAGAACGTGGAAGGGCAGTCGAAAATAGAATCTCTAAGCTCTGAAATGGAAAGTTTAATGTCAGAAAAACAGGTGTCCAGCCAGAAATTGGAAGAATTGGCTGAAAAAGAGATTAACCTCAATAAGGAAGTTGAAGATTCCAACAATAAGCTAAAGATTTCTTTGGAGGCTCAAAGTAATATGGAAAGCCAAATTTCTGAATTGAATACAGAACTATTATCTCTACAAGAAGACAGAAATCAGATAGCTGCAGATAACAGTGTTTTGAAGACAGAATTAAAAGAATTTGATGGGCAAACAAGCGAGGAGATGGCTCAACTTAGGCTGAATGTCGAAGAAAAAGAAAAATGCATCAGGAAATAACACAAAAGCTTGATAAAACAAAATCTCTATTGGAAGAAAAAGACCAACAGTGCAGAGATATGGGAGAACAGTTAAAGGAACTTAATAATCTGACAACCAGCTTATCTGAAAAGGAGCAATTTATTGAATCTTTAGAGAAGCAACTAGGCGACGCTTATTCTGGAAATGAAGAGGCTTTAGGGGTTCTCAATAGTAAGATAAGTAGCTTAAATGAAAAGATCACTAATTCGGAAAAAGAGAATGAGCAACTTTCGAAAGGCAAGGACGTTCTTGAAGAAGAATTGGCAAAACTCCAAGATAGTGTTGAAGAATCAAAGAACACTGTTGAAAGGTACGAGAAAATGCTTGCAGACTGGACACAGTACGGTGAACAACGTGAGGTGTATGTTTCAACTCTGAGCGAACAACTTGCTGAGAATCAGTCGGTAGTTGAGAAGCTCAACCAAACCTCTACAGAAATATCTCAAAAATACGAAGCCTTACAAGAAGATCTTAATCAGACCCAAAGCCATCTTACGAAGACCACTGAAGAAAAGGAGGCAATCGCCAGAAAAACGAAAGGTATTATGAAAGCCTACAAAGATACGAAGATTCAAATAGAGAAACTGAAGAAAGACTCCCAGAATAAAGGGACTGAAGTTTCTGAGCAACTCCAAGCTCAAATCAATGATCTCACAATAGCTCAAGCTACATTAGCAGAGCAAAATACTGCCCTGGCTAACGAAAGAAACGAACTTATGTCGGAGGTTGAACATTTTGAAGTCGAACGTGAATTTATGACTACTCTTAAAGACGAAAATACTTCTCTCAAACAATCGATCCTCGATCAGTCCCAACGGATTGAGAATCTTCAGTCAGGTCTTGACCGTACAAATGCTGTCGAATCTGAGCTGGTCTTGTTTAGGAATGCTAAGGATGCAGTAGACAACAAACTGGTCGAATGTTCCGATAGGATCTCCATGCTTGAAAAAGAATGCGCAGAGAGAGAAGCTGATTGCAGTGAAAAGGAAGCTGTAATAAATGACCTTATGACTAAGCACGATTGTATGGTTGGTGATCTGTCGGCGAAATTTTCCGAAATTGAATCCAAAGATTCGGAGATAACAGAGCTTAGATCTACGCATGTTCAACATCATAGACTCTTCGAAGACCTCGGACTCGACTTTGAGAGGATCAGAGAGATTCTTCCAAAACTAGTCTCGGATGTCCATCTGTCCAACACTAAATTGGAATCACTTCAATCACAAATTGAAATGTTCATCCGGTCGATAGGAGACCAGAACTTGGTGGAATTTAGTAGTGTCAGAGAACAAGTTCCTGATCGGTTTTCTGCTATCACTGACAAGCTTGTCGGGCTATCAAAATCATTGCAGCTTACAGAAGCTGAACTTGAGACACTTAAAAGCCAGACAGCTGAACTTAAAGAGGAAACTGTTCTTTTGAAGTCAGTGAAGGAATCATTAGATAACACAGACAAGACAAACGACGAGTTGCGTCGAAAGGTTGAGTTCCTAGAACGAGATCGCAGCGAACATGAGCACACAGTGGAACTGCTTCACAAAAAGTTCGAAGAGAACTATCAGGAGCTTTCAAGTGCGAAGAGCATTCTCGCAAAGAAGGAAATTGAACTGTCTGACGTCACCAACCAGTTTCAATCTACCATCAATAACCTGGCTGCCAAAGAAGGAAAGATCAAGGAACTGGAGCTTTTGATAACTGAGAAGGATTCTGAAAAGATACGAATTCAACATAACTTTGATAGCCAGATCAAACACTTCCACCAATCGTCTGCTGATCTACAAAATGAATTGCTAAAACGAGAAAGTGAGCTGGAATCTACTTCGAGCTGACAAGTCTGGCCTTGAAGAGGATATAAAGATAGAGTCTAACAAACTATCATCTGTGGTCGAAGAAATGGATGGTTATAAAAGTCAGATAGTGTCGCTCTCTACTGACCTCGCTAGTCTTCAACAAGAGTATGAGCTGTTATCTGGAAAGATGAATGTTACGGAAACTGAATTCGAATCTGTTTCCGAGCAGTTGAGTAATAAAGATTCGACCATCCATCACTTGGAGGATGAGATCAATTCATTTAAACGAAGATTAGATGCGGCTAATTCGCCTGATAAGGATGAAGAGCTTCTGAATGCCATCCGACAAAAAGATGACGTCATAGAAGAGATGAGAGGTGAACTTGACACCTTACAGAGAGACTACCAATTAACCATTGATAATCAGGAGCAGCAAATTACTGCTCTATTTGATTCTGAGAGAAGCGTTCTGAGAAATGAGATCAAAACTCTACAAAATAACCTTGTATCTGTTCAGGCAGAATTAGGTTCTAAAAATGAGGAGGTTGGTATTCTTTATGGTCAAATTAGTGATATCAATGAACGATTACAGCAATCGGCAGACACGAATTCATCTCTCAAAGCTGAACTTGAAAACTTTTCTCTAAATATGTCCGAAACCAAGGAAAGGCTCCAATCCATTTCGACCCATAAAGAAAAAATCGAAGCAAAAATGGGCGATTTGTTGAAAGATAAGCAAGATCTTCAGACCCTCTGTGACTCCTTGTCAAGTAATGTTCAACATTTGGACAGCAAAAATCAAGAACTAGCCGCAAATCTGAGTATGTCTAACTTAGATCGGAATGTGCTACAAAAGAGTGTGTCTGAGCAGAACAAACAAGACACAAACGTTCTTCAGACGAAGTTAACCTCTCTGAAAGAGCTGAACAAGACGCTTGAACAGTCTCTTCTAAATTCTGAAGACAGTATTGGTGAAGTAACAGCTAACTACGAGCAGAAATGCATGGAAATTTCAGCTGTTGAACGAGATCTCTCTGTCAAGAAAGGACAGATTCATGATCTCAAGAAGCAACTGGAAGAGGCTGAAGGACAGCTCTCTGAGAAAGTTAGCGTCATGACCCAGCTGGAAGTTGATTTCAAAAAGCTTATTGCTAGCAATGCTGATCTTGAGGGAAAACTCAACAACTTCTCATCAGAAGATAACAAAGTTGCTAACTCTAAAATATCTGAACTAAAAGTTGATCTTGAACAAGCCCTGGTAGACAACCAAATGCTGCGAGACAATAACGGCCTGTTAGTGAAAAACAACACCCAACTCACTGACAACTATAAACAACTTCACGACAGTGTTTCGGTTTTCCAGCAGCGAGACCAGTATCTTAACGAAATGTGCCAAAAACTACAATCTCACACCTCGTCTCTTGAGGCGCACATCAGAACCATATCGGATGATTTCTCCAAAAAAGTTGCCGATGCTGATAATGAGAAAAGTAACCTTCTAGAACAGTTGTCCTCATTCAAATCAGGATCGGCTGTGACACCACAAGTTACCGAACTGAAAGACGAAATGGTTCACATGCGGAACTCAAAGGAGAAGCTTGTCAGTGAGGTGGAGACATATCAGGCTCGTTTACAAGTCGCTACTTCTAGAGCAGATGCGCTGGAGAAGTCAATACAGGAAATATCAGCACGTTACAATATGCAGTGTGGAACTGTGGAGAAGAAGACGGCTGATCTGGCTAAACTAATGAAACAGTACAAAAACATTAAACAGAAACTGGTGAATGAGCTGAACACAAGGAAAAGTTTGGTACAAGAGACCATTAATGGCAAGGAGAAAGTTGCCATCAAGTTTGGAGAAAAATCTAAACGATTGAGGGTGAGTTCTTACTTCTTGTGTTTCTTACTTCCATTCTTCTTTGCGTGTATTTCTGGTAACTAGTAATAGTAAATTACATACGTAAAATGTGTTGAAAAATTGCGTATTCCCGAATTTTTAAGTTCACCAATTTCAGGAAATGCAAGGTCAACTCTACTCTTGTCAGAAAGATCGAGAAACATTAACTACCGCCGTCGAAGGTTAGAACTTTAGAATCGCAAATTATAATAATCACTACAGATGCATTTCATCTTATTAGTCTCTGGTGTGAAATCGCGATACATCTCTGCTTTTGTTTGAGTCAATGATTTATAATTAATAATTGAATAAAACAGGAAGCGTCATTATTTACATGACCTGTTTTTCAGGGATCTTGGACTCGATCACGCCGCTACGAGGAAAGATTGAAACTGAATCGAGTAAAGACGAACCGTAAGTCTAATTTTAACATTTTTTATTGGCACTGTTTCAACTTTTAATTTCATAACCATCTCATAGGTTAAAACTTACATATTTGAAAATTGAAAAATAAAATTAGGTAAATTTGAATATCTTGTTTCTTCACTATGTTTCCTCTCACGAATATGCTAAATGCTAATACACGTTGTCTTTCACAGAGTCAGTGATAATCTATCTGGAGTAATAGAAAATCTGGAGCATAAAACTAAAGACATTCTAACGTTCCTATCCCGACCCCTGCCCTCCCCAGCCTTATCACGAGTAGACCTCTCTGCTTACCGAGACTCCGACCTTTGGTCAGAATACTCCCGCGGGGACTCGCTCGCCCTGAGTGACTCTGTCAGCGACTTTGGGGAAAACCGATCTATGAGATCGGAACTGAGCATGTTCAGTGGTATAACTAACATGACAAACAATTCCATTCTGACGAATAATAATAATAATCAGACTAGTAATCAGACATTGCCCATTATGAGGGACAGAAATGGCTCTGGGACGAGCTCCTCCTCAGAACGACATCGAGCTAACAGTACGAATACTGAAATAAGTAGGACCAGTACTGGTGTTATTAATAGGTTGGCTTACAATATCATGGGTGACACCAGAGGCAGGTCACCTGGCGAAAGCACGTAACCATTTTTCTGGACGAGTTTTATTTTTTGATAATTTAATTTATTGTTTTGAGGATAATAATATGATAATGTAATTGTTGGTTTGTGTGATTAGCAAATCTTTGTTCAACTTGGCTTATTGGTTGATATAAGAGACTGTTTGAGTTGATTACAGTGAATTTGGTAATAAACTTCAAAGATTTTTTTTCCTTGAGTGGTGAATACGTTAATTTAATTTGATTGCTTAAAAGAAAAAAAATTTGGATCTGCTTTTTTAGTTTTACTTTATTTTCACGTCTGATTTGTTTTGTTCTTTCTAAAACAATTTCAATTTCTAAAATGATTTCACTCATGGTATTGCTTTTTATAATTCAAAATATATAGTTACAGGAAAATTTGAGATCTTGATAAGCGTTATAGGAGTTAGGTTTGTAATGATTATTTGGTTTCAGTGAAGTGTTTGTTTATTAACAATGTGTAACTAAACTACGGAGTTGAGGATGTGTGGTTTGAGTTACCGAATGAAAAACGTATTTGTTGTCAGTTAGTTTTCGTGATCTTATTTTTTGTTACATAACAAGAGGGAAAAAGAATTAATTGTGAGATTTGTGAGTATTCCATAAACTTCTAGTTATCAGATTTAAATAGTTATTTTCATCAGCATTTTGTTTTAATTGTTAACTAGTCTGCAGTCAAACTAAATCGATCTGCATGATCATCAAGCAAGTTCATTTAAAAACTATTCATTCCTCAAGACTTGCGGGCAGATTTATATAATAATTATAGACTCCTACTCTAGAACTTCCAATACCGCTACAAAAACGAGCACAGCTCAGCTCCTTTTTACAAACAATTAAACACAACTGTGACGTCACAGGTAGGGCTGAAATCAGGTTTCAATCATACGTACTTGTCATTTGTAGTTTGTACTTTGTAGGGTTATAACCTACCTAAGGCGCACGCCGAGTTGGACTCGTCGACGGTCTAATATCTGAAACAAATATTGTACGAGCATCACCCGTTAAATTTGATTTGTACCCAAACATGCGAATGCATGGTCATTTGCTGGACACGTTGTATACCTATTACCTCTCGTGCACGCGAAAAGGGGTTGCAGCGTGTGTCAAATGGTCATTGGTCAGCTTGATCAACTATTTTCTTAACCGGGTGTGAGCTGTTGCTATATCCAGAACCCTTTCGCTTGCAGTAGCGCGCGACCGCCAAAGGCGGCACAAGATTATACTTGTTGCTTGTGAAACAATCGCGTCACGCAATACGCGTAGAAACATGGTTAACCATTAACGGGTGATACTCGTAAAATATTTGTTCCATATATGTTACTAGGACCGTCCATATATGATATATTAGGACTGTCGACGAGTCCAACTCGGCGCGCGTCCTGGTAGGTTGTAAACATACGTACAAACACATGGCTATGTGAATGTGGGCTGCTTCGCGCCTATGTAAGGAGCTAAGTTAATTGACGATGTCAATTCATCGCAGCTCGGCGAGGCCGCAGTAGCGCATTTCGCCGATCTAGCGAGAAGCTTACCTGGGGACCTCAGGCTATCATGTTCATTAACATAGAGATTCAGCGGAATGACAGTGCAGGCTGAGCGCGGCCCAGTAAGCGAGAACATAATGGAGTGCGCGGCCCAGTAATTTGTTGTTTGGGCCCGGACGGTGCCGGTGGTTCTAATGACCATTTACTAAAATACATAAATACAAAATACAATATAGTATAAATATTATAATCAGAAGTTTTATAAATCCTATCCGTCCAAGTTAAACTTGAAGGGCGCTACACGCACGACGAAAACTCCCTTTAATGTGAGCTGAAGTAGACTACTAGTAGTAGAGCTAGTAGCGCTTGAAATTGACAGAACTGAAAACGAAATCTGACAATTGTCGCGAAAACTGACAGTTTTGTGTGCTCGAAGTGTCGAGAAATACTGACAGTGCAAGACTGGGCACACAGGAGTGAGTTAAAACATCCTCCACACAACAAAAACTTGAATACACTAATAATAATCAATTATTAAAAACACTCAAGCTCATTCTGCAGTCTTATTAGTCTTATCAGTACTCTTTATAGCACCGTTTCTGATACATGATAAAGTGTAGCTTATCAGGCTGCTCAGTTACCAGTCTTTTCATGTCACTGACGAGTTCTCTTTGCTTGGCTCTCTGTTCTGGAGATCGATCTGGGCTGATAAAAACAGTTTTAAACTTTTCCGTTGCTCGCAGGTTTCTCGATTTAGCGAGAATCTGATTAACAATTGTTGCACTTGCCGCAGTCACTTTAACTGGTCTCACAGCCTTGCCAGGGTTGAGCTTTCCGACTCTACTAGCTTCGATTCTGGGTTTCTCTCCGATTGCTGAGAACACTTCACTGACCACGGTGCTGAGCTCCTCATTGTCCTGCTCCGATAAACCAAAAATCATCAGATTTTTGTTTCGGTCTTCCTCCTGTACCACAGTTTTCACAGCTTTCTTGATCATTTCAGAACTGACAGGCTTCTGAGATTCTGGACAATTCGCCTGTAATACCGAGCTGAAGGATTGGAATTCAGCCTTGACAGACTCTCCGACTGACGATTTAACTGACGTCTGCAACGATTCCAACTGTTCATTTTTGCAGGCTAGTAGTTCTGACTGCAACTTAATGATGGTCTCCTGTGTCTCGAACATATGATGTTTAACTGAATTTGAGGCTATCTTGTAGTCCGTGGATACGACACCAGTGAACTCCTCCAAATATATTAATGCATCGTACAACAAGTCACACGCAGTGTCCTTGTTCATCTTCTTCACGCGCGAAGGGGATAGTTGCCCAATTGCTGTGATCTCCATCTCGTTCATAGCCTTGTTGAGAAGTTCAACTGAGTCACCCCTTAACATGTTGATCTCCTTTTCACCATACTCGCTGGGCGGGATGGTCATGGTCGTGTAACACGGTGATACACAAACCACTGTAGCTGCACGTTACAATCAACAGAGATAAGCACTAAGATAAGAGAGTAAGAAAAGAGCAACGTATGCAATTAGTGTAATACTGAACTGAACGAAAAGATTTAACGGGTGATACTCGTAAAATATCTGTTCCATATATTGGACCGTCGACGAGTCCAACTCGGCGCGCGTCCTGGTAGGTTGTAAACCTACAACCCAGTAATGCATCGCGCAACAAGGAACTAAGCTCCGCTTAGTCATTAGACCAAATAAAATCAAAACGTTTGGTAATCATGATAAAATAAAAATTAACTTTACAACGTATGACAAAACAAATTAAAGTAACAGTTTAATTGTTAATAAAATAATTTTCATAAATATTTGTAGGTTTATAAATATAGCTGATAACCTACCAGGACGCGCGCCGAGTTGGACTCGTCGCGCAGTCGACGGTCCTGATATTTCCTAATATCAAATATTTGAAACATATTTTACGAGTATCACCCGTTAAGTCAAATCAAGCCAAGTTTTTTTTAATGTTTGATGTTACCTGAATTTAATTTATTTTGAGTTTGACAAGGTTTGGCAGAAATTGGCAACATTTGATTGAAAACCTGGTTTCAGCCTTTTCTGTTTTCACTTTGTGTGAAAGATCAGGAGCAAGAAGAACGTGCGCCGCGCACTTTATATAATATATTTGAATTATGTGTCCCAAAAATCGAGCGCTGCATGCTATCTAAAGCCACATTTACCTGCTGACTTTTTAAATGTGCAGTGTTTGGTCTTGTTGATCAACATTTAATTGTACATCAATCATTGATATATCAGCTTGCTACAACAAAGTGCAATACTTTTTTCACGCTATTTTGTGTATTTGTGATAGAGACAGTTTTCGGCGGATATTTGAACAACAGTAGAATGAATCAAATGTGATGCATAATAACAGCTGTATGAAGTATATTTCATCCCATCATCTATGCAGTTTCATCCAGGCCTTCGCAACTGTATCAGTAACTATGCTTGGTGTAGCTCGATGGTATAGGAATTCTAGTTCCTATAGTTGGGAATGAGGTAGTTTTCTGTTCACAGATCACGTTTGGAAGATGTTGTATCTGAAACAGTTGAAAATCCTTGGATGGAAGCTTCTTAAACATCGTATGGAATAAGGCTGTGGGTTCAATCCCTCATTATGTTAACCTTCAAACAATTGTGTAAATGCAACTATTTTATTTTACTACACTGTATTTTGTTCACCCAGTGTACTGCCTTGCTGTTGCTGATTGCGTGAAGCTGTATGATTCTTAATTTAAACCGGTGAAATCCGTTATCTTTATCTCATCACCTCAACAAAGAGCATAACTTTATTGATAGGTCACATTTGACACAATAAGGGGCCATAATTGTTTAAATTAGGATTAACTGACATTTATCAAAAATCTAAATCTTCCTCGTATCAAGTTAGAGCTTTATAAGGTGTCATATTCCCAGGTTCGCATAGGCTCCCGCCCGGATTTCACAGAGCTTTGTGCCTGATGTGGGGTTTTGTGGACCATTTGTATGGCGCAGCACAGGGGTGCGAGTGCCCTTGTATGGCGCACATACCTCCTTCGCCCAATAGGTTGAGACAAGCATGCCCTGCAATGAGCACTTATTTTGTTTTTAAAATTTTATAGAATGAAATCATTAATCCAAATTGAGGAAATCAGCTTGCGCGCGGCATTTATGGATATCTATGATATGTATAATCTGTAATAAAGATCAAAATTAAAATTTGTATTCCTTAAAATTTGTATTCCCTTATCATAATCTGTTTTGATTAATTCTTTGATAATTTAAAAGAGAAGAGGTTCAGTAAATCAGGGTTTTCAGTAAATTAGGGTATTAATGTAATTAGTGTTTACTTTTATCATTATGGCTATTCATCCATGCAGCAGAAATGAGCAGCTTCACTCTAACACAGCTCCCTCTAGCTACCTCCAAAGATAGAATATCATATTATATTGAAAATTTCCACTCAGTTTTGTGATTCTAGAGTGAGAACAAGAGCCTAATTCGAAATACTGCTCGACGCTTTTCAGGAATCGACTGGCTAAGTTGTGAGAAGTCCTCATTCTTCTTGTTCAAAAGGTGATGAAACCTATAAAAGTCCTCCAAAAGTATAATAAAACCAATTGTAAATGCGTTATCCACCAATTGAAAAGAGGGTAAATATCTGATGCAATAATAATTGGTACATGTAGTAGATTCCCCCTTTTGTTCTGGCCCAGAGCATTAGCCAGGCAGCTTCCCGGTTTTTCGGGCGGCTGGGTGGGTCTTGGGCGGGATAGGTGTGGCTTCGGGCCCCTCGTGGTATGGTCTGGGATCTGGGGGTTGGCACGGGGGTGTGGCGGGGACGGGTGAGTGATGCTGGCTGGAGGGACGGTTACTATTCTTACCGACCAGCTTAAGCAAGTAAAGTTGTTTGCAGTCGGGACGGATGGGAACTTTGAATCGACAGTTAGCATTGCGATCCTGGCTCTTGTCATGCTTTCGGGCCTTGGACCCGTTTCTCGGGGCAGGCACGGGGGGTTTGGACGCCCGCCTCTCGTCTGTGGGCCTCCTTGACGCCGTGAATTGCTGGGATTAAAAGTACGGCGGCGGAGTCAGTCCTGAGCACCAGAGCATTCGTGAAGACTCCGCCCGCTTACTCTGATTTTTCTGACTGTAATTCCTTTCAATCCACTTCTTGTTGGTGTCTTTCATTCTCGGATTGATTGGAACTGCAGCCTGGAGTCAGTTAAGTGACCTTGACGTGGTAAGGGGGCTTACTCGGCATCACTCGACCTGCCGAAACTAAGCCGTACTGTCCAGCTGGGCATCACTGGACATAAGTCGCACGTGCACTTCTTTTGGCTATTTAACTCACCTGACCCTTCCTCCCTGAGCACTCACAGCTTTCATTCACCATGAGCTATAGGGTTTTTGAAGTTTAGGGTGTGCGCTTCAGGTCGGGCCCTTAATGCCGATCATTAGCACCCATTTTCCCTGTTTTATTGGGCGGCATTTCAACACTGTCGTCGTAGTATTTCTCAGCATCTTTCTACATTTCGCAGAAAGTGTTAAAACTCATGATACACCCTCACTGATCACCCATTTGCTTTATAGATCGTGGATAGAGTGTGCTTCGGCAAACACGAATGTATGTGTACGGACTCTTGGGTCTGACTCATGCACTTTGTGCACCGTCCACGAACCCTATAAAGTAATATACTGTAACAACAACAACAAACAACCCTTATTACACACCAAAATCATTAACCACAAATCTATCGTAGCAAGACAAGTCACAAAAATGTCCAACTCCGGTGAAACACAGCAAATCAACAACATCACGGAAACCGCAGGTAAGCCATTTCCTTCCCAGAGAATTTGGCGCAATACAATCCTAACGACAATCACCAAATCTACAATCAAAGTACCAATGTTTTCGCGCGGAAACGCGCAATCTACACGAACGCAACATATTATCACAAACAAAGAAAACAACCCAATTACCCCCACAGAGAGTGAATCGATCTCAAGCACGACGACGAATGAACTTCTTCGTCTTGAAGTATTGGAGGACAGCACATCAGTCTGTCCCTCTAACAATTCCGACGATTTATTGAAATCACCCCAAATAGACAACTCAAATATACGACGAAAGTCGTATATTAGTGAAAACTCTACAAGCACGGACCACACAATCAGACAACAGCTCAAATACAGCAACATTAAAGGTGACGCCGTTGAGGATCTGAGACGGAGAAACCGGGAACTTCACAGACAGAGAAGAAATTCTGGACGTGATTCAGTAGCCTCTGGCAACAGAGGGCTCCACGATCAGGATCTCTTCGAGGACGAAAGTGATGTTCCGGCGGTCTCCCTCAGTTCTCCCGCGGAGGCGACTGCTGCCCCATCCGAAGTCAGCCCAATGGAGGTGACGGATGCGAAAGCTCCCGCAGTTGAGTCCAAACCTGAGTCGATGCCGATCCAAGATAACACCGGGTCGGGATCCTCGGGGATGGACAAAACTCGGAAGCCGGAACAGCCTGAAACCTCCGCCGCAATTCTACCAGTACAGAAAAGCGGGGCTGAGAAGAGGAGGAGGAAGCAGAAGTCCAAATCCGAAAGACAAAAGGAAACAGACACCTCAGACTGCGAAACAGAAGCTGTGAAACTGACAGACCCCGACGAGGTTTTCAGGAAGGGTGATCCATTACTCACCCTGATCGTAACCAAGGCGGAGGCACTCAGTGACGCATGTGATCACATCACACGTCTCCTGTTCGTGGTCTCACAACCACTCAAAATCACTCTACTGCAACCAACCATCGACGGGGCAAGGATAGAGGTGGAGGATAAGCCATCGGCCATCACGATCGCAGAAACCCTTCGTAGAGAGGGGTGGAACGTGACTGAGACTGATGTGTGGAACCGATACCAATTTCCTGTTCCATTCCAGCTCTCTGGATTGGAACACGCTGCGGACGGGTTGGACCCAGTAACTTTGGTTCGCGGGCTTATATCTCGGAACGTCCACTACGGCTTGCCGTTGGACTCGATCCGATATGTATCGCACGCTTGGGAAACAGTTAAGGTGGAGGCGGCTGAAGGTGGCACTGCGGCGGCGCGACGGCGGATGCGTTTATGGGTTGATGTCTCACCTCAGGGTGAAGAATACCTCATGAAGACAGGTCATCTCCTGTGCACGCTGACCGCTGCCGTGCGCCTCAGGGAGGCCCCCCGCAACCGCACCTTCCGTCGTAACAGGTCCTAGGACCTTGCATGATGGAGGAGTATCAGTCGCTTCAACTACTGTTCCCCAGACCAACAATATCCCCCCTAATAACACCACCCATAGCAACACAAACATCAACACTCAACAAAACAACAACAACAACAACACTAACAACAACAAAAACAAAAACAAAAAACGACACAATAAGACACAGAGGGGCAGACTGTGTCAAAAGACTACTCACAAAAATGGTAAGAATTGCTTGGATTCTTATTCTATTACTCAGATTAACCTCAAACGCAAGTTTAATGCATGGAAAACCCTCCTAGCCAACATACATGGCAGGAAAAATCCAGTCATTCTTGCTACTGAACCGTACTCGAATAACAAAAATATCATACCACCTATAAATAAAGATCTGTCCAACTTCTACTACAAAATCGGGGATAAAAGACCCCGTGCCGCAATTGTACTGCACAAAAACCTGACAGCTAAATGTTGGGAACTTACACAATTCACAACACCCGATCAAGTGGCCGTTAAAATCCAACTCAGCTCGACAGAACTCATTCTGGCAGCTTCATACATGGATATAAACGGACCGGTACCGCCACAAGAAACATCACCTCTAGCAAAATATGCCAATGATAACAACATCCCGCTCATTATAGGGTCGGACACGAATTCCCATCACACCCTTTGGGGGAACAAGACATGCAATACGAGGGGAGAGGAGCTACTTGACTTTCTCTCCTCCCTAGGGCTGTCATGTGCCAACAAAGGATCATCCCCAACCTTCCTCAACTCTCGAGGCCACAATTCAATTATCGATCTTACAATAACAAACCAGTTGGGAGGAGACCTCATTAGCAATTGGCATGTTAGTGACCTCTACTCCAACTCTGACCATCGCTATATTATGTTCGACATAACTACAGGGCCAAAGAAGGAACCCAAACAGATCCGACTAGTCAAAAACACTGACTGGGACAGATTTGATGAGATCCTATCGAATAACCCCAACCTTAACAACACACAAATCAACACTACGACCGAAATTGATCACAATATAGACATCATCAATACTGCACTTAAGGAAGCCTTCGAGGAGGCATGCCCCATTACTTACATCTCAAGTTCCGTCCGCAAACCCCCCTGGCTAACTCGAGAAGTAGAGGAAGCACAGAGGGGAATAAGACAAAAACTGATTACAGCCCGAAAAAAGAAAACTGATGCCCTGTGGCTCGCTCTTAGAGAGAGCAACAAACAATACAACAGACTTATATCCAACTCCCAGCGTAATGCCTGGAGAACTTTTTGTCAGGAAACAGAGTCTGTTAAGGAATCCGGAAGGATGAACAAGATTCTGAAATCCTGCAACGACAACAAGCACACACTAGAAGCCGTTTACAAACCAAACGGAGACATCACCAAAAATGCAGAGGAGACACTGGAGGTCATGACACAAACCCACTTCAAGGATAGTGTCACTGACCCGCCAGTGCCTCCACCTGGACCTCTACCAATCACCACCACCTTACTCAATACCATCTACAGCCCAGACAGAATCGAGGAGGCTCTTAAATCCTTTGATCCGTTAAAAGCTGCTGGACCCGACACCCTCAAACCTATCATCATACAGAAAGCTTGGACACACATCAAAGACATCACCAGAACCATTATGACAAAAAATCATGAAACCCACACATTCCAACTTTGTGGAAAGAATCCCTTGGAATCTTTCTCCCAAAGCCTGGAAAAACTGACTACAACCAACCAAAATCATTTCGCACTATCACCCTTTCTCCTGTGATGTTAAAACTACAGGAGAAGGTAGTACTGTGGCATATGCAACACGACCTTAATATCGCTAAAGACATCAACAAACGACAATTTGGCTTTAAAAAGGGATGTTCAACCGAAGCAGCCCTTCATAAAGTTACTCACACCATCGAGCGCAGGATAGCTAAGAAGGGATATGTCTTAGGAGTCTTTCTAGATATAGAGGGAGCTTTTGATAATGTCTCTTTCAAGGCTATTTCTGACGCTATCAAGACCACGAAAGTGGACCCGGCCACAGCACAATGGATCATCAACATGGTAACTAACAGATTCATCACATTAAATCATAAGGATAAGTCGAAAAGGGTTCGGATCCGGAGAGGGTGCCCCCAAGGTGGCATCCTTTCCCCTTTCCTTTGGAACCTGGTAGTCGATGATCTCCTGGCCTACACCGCAAGAGACATACCAGGTTATCTGCAAGCTTTTGCAGATGATCTGCTTTCTCTAGCGGAGGGGAATGATTTAGACATCATCTGGAACAGAACACGCAAAACCATCAACACAATAGAAAAATGGTGCCAAACCAAAGATCTATCCATAAGCGCACTCAAAACACAAATAGTCATGTTTACCTGGAATAAGAAATGGACACTTAGACCTGTGGTGGTGGGTAACACCACTATAGGTCTATCCAAATCTGCCAAATTCCTAGGAGTGACCCTCGACAGCAAGCTCAATTTCAATGAACATATCACCAATACCACCAAAAAAGCCTACGGCATCCCTTATGCAATGTAGAAGAGCTGTCGGCCCCACTTGGGGTATGAGGCCCTAAAACATGCAAATGGATGTACAACCGCTGTCATCAGACCTATTCTATCATACTGCTGTAGTATATGGATTAGGGCAACCCAAACAGACACAACGCGAGGAAGTTCAAACGAGTTCAGGCATTGGCATTGAGAATGATGTCTGGTGCCATGCCTAGTACTCCCTTCATCGCACTGAACCACCTCACTAACACTCCAGATATCATACTTTTCCTGAGAGGTTGAAGCAGCAAAGGGCACAGCCAGGCTTCAAGCATATGGAAGCCTAACCCTCGAAACTATCGCCCCCAGAAAAGGTACCATCACAACTCACACCACTATCAACAAACAATTCATGGTAGACCTCAACATACCACCCCAAAGCAGAGAGAGACCTATCTATACCAACCATGATGCTTGAACGACGCTTCACGGTCACCACTCCTGAGCTGACAACATTGAATATAGAGGCTCACTCCAAAACACCATCGACAACATCCCCAGTGAAACCATCACCTGCTACACAGACGGGTCACGCACAGACTCAGGTAGCGGGGCTGGTTATATTATCACCACAGACAACAACAACACTACACTAGATGAAAGATCAGTCAAGCTTCCTGATTATTGCACCGTTTATCAAACTGAACTCACTGCCATCATCGAAGCTTGTAAATATCTATCAACTTACACAAACACACATATCATCATATGGTCAGACAGTCTCTCCTCTATTCAAGCTATATCCTCACCTTCAACGAGGAGTAGAACCACTAGAGACTGCTACGACACCCTCAATACACTCGGATCCACTAACACCTTAGAGATCAGATGGATAGCAGCACACATCGGATTGTGGGGTAATGAAAAAGCAGACGAGCTGGCCAAAAATGGCACAACCAGTGAATCCACTTTGAATTGCCCAATTCCACAATCTTACATCAAACGCCTGATCAACGACAAAGTCACAAAACTTAATCAAGAATCATGGATTACTAATGGTCCCAGACACACTAAACTGACACTTGGACATAAAAACATCAACATCATCAAAAATCTCAACACTACACTCAGCAACAACAGACAAAATTACAGAACTGCAGTGCACCTCATCACGGGACATTGTGGCCTCAACAAACACCTACACACCATCCACAAATCAGACACAAGTGCTTGTCCAAAATGCGGCGACGGAGAGG